GAGATGCTGACTGTTATGTAACTTTTGAATTTGGATAAAATAATAAACTGTGCTTTCCTTTTATGATGTAAAACTATCAGCTACTACCCTTGATGAGCTCTAGTCAGTCTAATATTTATATTGTTATTATTTTGTTTCCTCCCTTTGAGGTCACTCTTTAACATTGCTTTCTGTATGTCATGTCCACAGCCATTTGCCACTTTCCTCAAATGCTTAGCCATCATCTGAGCTTGTCTTTTTAACCAAACCTCTCCTGCATCTGCTTTCATTCAGTCATTTATGCTTCATTTGGTAAGCACAGCATTCCAATATTGCTGTTTAATTAAACATTTATGATTCGAAAATTAAAACATGATACTGTAAATCTTCCGTCTTGTTTCCTTAAGTATCTAAGCAGATTTTTGTCATCATTACATTCTCCTGACTCTTATCTTTGCTGTTTTTGTATTTCGTTATAAAAGAAATGTGAATGTTGTTAAATTTATTTAATCTTATATGATTTTATGCAAAGGTATTACTGTGTTTTGAAGGAGATTTGCATTGTTACATTTTGGTTAAACAAAGAGTTTTGCTTGTAGGCTAAAAAGCTTATTTTTTGGGCTCTCCATAGCACTTTCTAACATTTAGCTTGTTACCTAAATAGCTCTACATTTACTGATTGCTTTACCAAATCTTTCTTCTTGCCACTCTTCTGTGAATGTCAAATGTGTCGAATGTTAAACTGATGATGAAAGATTTTTCAAGTTGAGCTGTTGATATACTGCTCCTCCACAGCTACCGTACTGTAGACCTCATGACTTATCTTGATTAATGTATCGCTTACCAGGTCTGTCTGTAAAGGTGGAAAGACATTTCAGCTTGGGTACAGTCATGCTGGAGTTTTATGATAAAAGTAAACCTTTTACATTTATAAAGAGAAGTTTTAATGATTTTGACTAAAAACAGCAATGCTCATTATCAGGAGTTCTTTAACAAATTGAAAGAGGAATCCAGATATAACAAGGGCAATAAAAATCAGCATCATGTCAGAGAATACAAATAGAAACAAGGTAATTCTGCAAAGCGGTAAGTAAAATCAACAAAATCTACAAAAGGAATACTTTTGAAGTAAAAAAAAAAAAAAAAGTATGCTCACATCAAATAATTTATGTATATATCAGTTTTCAAGTAAAATAATAAAAAATGTAGTGTTTGCTAATTTCTTCTTCTGTCTGATAAATGTTTTTGCACCAGGTTGTAAAACATTAACTTGGCATAAGTCATATTGATACTTATGGAAGAGGATTAGGTCTGATGAAAAAATAAAGTTAACTGGTTTTACATATTATTTCAGTTTAATATGGGAAGGAAGTCAGAATTATGACTTTACTTTAATATCAGACTTCTGAGTTTAATCTCAGAAGTATGACTTTTTTTCTCAGAATTATGACGTTTGTCTCAAAATTCTGACTTGTCATTATGCCTAATTCCGTCATTTTCCAGCAAAGTGTTACTCGCCCACCCAAACAACTCACATCTTTGTCGGTGAAGCTGCGTGTTCCCACATCTCTACCTTAATGTAACCCTTTAAGATTAAGATCCAAAATTCTGAGATTAAATTCAGCATTCTGAGAGATTAAAGTCATAATTCTGAGAAAAAAGTCAGAAGTCTGACTTTTTCTCCCATATTAAACTGGCCCTAATCCTCTCTATAGATACTTGTAGGTCAATGTGAATTCTGCACATATATTTGGAAAAGCTACTAGAAACAGTTTGCAAAAGAGAGGCACTTTAAGTGCAATTCTTTGACATGATTGGGTAAATCCCCAAGCAGCACCTGCCTCCCATGTCGACATTTAGTCAAATGCAGTAGCAGTTTTGATGTGTCGCAATCTTGATCTGTTTCACAACTATCTGAGTTAACTGATAAATCAAATAGAGTTGTGAGGAAACATCTTTCCCATCCACAAAGGCACAACTTCTTATTCATACTTCTGTTCATTTTTCAAAAAAGAAATATAGGGTGTTCAAGCTAAAACACACTGAACTAGAAAACCACACAGAGAGCCGACCTCCGCCAAGCAGTACATTTTCCCCCAAATTGTAAATTATACCTATAGCTGGAAGTCGCACATGATCCGGATCATTATCGTTCCTTGGCATAAAATCCGTTCATAAGTTTTCAGTTGTTCTGTTACAAAACTGAAAACCTTCCTTTTTCTTACGTTTTTGTCTTCAGTAAAATACCTCCTGACTTTTTGAGGCCAATGCTGAGGCTATTAATGGCCACGACTGCCACCTTCTGGTTTAGTGTGGAACTGCTTGTTCCGCCAAATATCCCTATCTAACAATGCCAGAGAAATTTTAAAAATATTTCTGTATCCAGATTATGATCTGGATCATCACCAGAATGGAATGAATTGTTCCTCTGTATGAGGGACACTCCTGGTAAGAATTTAATTAAAATCCGTACATAACTTTTCAAGGAATCCTTTACACAGACAGACAGACATACACACACACACACACACAAACTCTCCAAAAAACAAAACCTTCTTGCCAGAGGTAATAAGTGTCCAGTATCTCTGCTAACAGCTAACAAGTACATCCACAGACGCAGCTGTGTTTGTTTTACTTCAGCCTGCCGCTTCTGATTGATGTCATATATACATCATTGTTTTTCATTGGTTGGAAACATTTCTGCAAGATATATTTATGGGATTTTGTGAGTTTACAAATTTCACAACAGTTTATCTTGCTTGAAAATAAGTAGAACAATGGCATAAATATTGTTGTATGATGTCACCATCTGCTGGTACCTTATGAAAAAAATGGAAACTTAAACTATGGCAAATAAAATTTGCATTACATATGGTATAAACTTTACTATATCTAAGAACCTTAGAATAGTGTTGCCATTAATTGTATGTTTAAAAGTAAGACCATGCAATCGTATATAATTCAACTGACTAATATCTAAAAGCTTCTTCGGCTTTAGCTCTCACTTAAAGGTATAGGGGAGGATTTTCCATAAATTTTGAACTTGACTTAAACACAAGCACGACTCTGTACCTGTCCCGAGAGGGAACACTTGTTAAATGTGTGCGAGAACGTGCACGAGCCCATTTCTCCTCATTTTATTTGCAGTGATGTGAAATGAATAGCATGCCAAACTTTACCTGTCGATTAGAAACTTCGCAACCGAGGCATCAGTTGGAAGCCCAACCTGTGCTTTCAGTGTTCAGCACCGCAAGAAAGAATCTCCCAAAAACACTCTGGTCTTGTTTCTCTCTTCTGAGGCCTTTCTTTTCTTCTCACATACTTTGTAGACACTTTTTTCTTACGACCCTCTGCCATTTTCAAAGAACCGCCGTGAGAAAGGTGAGCTTCAATGAATGGCTGAAACCATACCTTACCACACATATACACCTGAAAGTGCGCATGCACAGAAACATATCACCAGAAGAACCACTTATTTTGACGATAGACGCAGAAAAAGAAAATCATCCCCTATTCCTTTAAAAAAATCCCAGTGTTCATATTGTATTCAAGCACATCTCTAGTCTTATCTCTCTTGGTATTAAATATGCAACAGACCATAGCAAAAACATGAACAAGTGTGCTTTGATGTTTGCTTTTGTGTTACTTACATATCCTGAAAAAGTGGAACTCATGCAATTCGAAAAATAATTTAATACTACCCTTGGAATGCTGGCTCGTCTAAAGTACTTAAAGTACAACAGACATCACTGTTTCTTCAGAATCTGTCTGGAAGCCAGAAGGGAATAAAAAAAAAGCTGTTAATTTGTATGACTTTGCATAAATTGCTTCAACCAGTGCTTGCCAAGAAACTTCACTATTTTTAAAGTAAATTTTAGGCACTGCCTAACAATGTTTGTGTTACATGCATGCAGTGAACAAACACCTTTCAATTACCCAAAATGTTTAAACACACATTTTATAGGTTATTTTAAAAATACAAAGTTTTGCACTTTTTCACACATTTATCCTAGACTTTCCTCTTTCTGCCCTAGCTGACGTTGCTAAGTTTTTCTGCTCCATTGGTTGTTTACTACTTGTGTGGCTGCACAATATCCTACCTCCAGTCACGTGGTAATGTTATGGTACACAAAAGCACTTATAGACGTTATAAACACATATAGGAAAAAACAACATGCAATACACCAAAACAAAACATAATAAGCCAACAAGGAAACATTGTGTAAATAAACAATCTTTGTATGTAACCAGAGTAAGCAACAGGCATAGAAATATGTAAATTCATAGTATGTGACTAGGCTTTTTTTTAAATAACATATATTATGTTTTTCTTCTTCAGAGTTATTTCTGATTGTCATCAACGTCTTAAAAATACTTCCAAAATTGCATTGTCAAGACACAAAATGAGATAAAACATTTTTTAGGGTATATTAATTATTTTTCCTATAATTGCACTAAGCCATATCATAGTATTTAAGGTGTTGGGAAATGCTCCCAACGTCACCTGAACATTTTAAATGAAATGGCAAACCTGTTTATACAACATATGCTTATCACCTCACTTGATCTTGGAAGGATATCTTTCTCCACCCTTTCTTTAGTCAGCTGTCCAGGCAAGAAGCTTTAAAGTGCACTACGTTTTTACAGAGCTTTATATCAATTATATACCAGCTCTTCAATTATACATCAGTACATCTTAAGTTCAACTATGTCATAAACCTCCACTTTCCTGGAACTAAGTGGAGTGCTTCACATGACCCATCAGTAACTGGATTACATATATGGATTCTAGATGTATTCTTTTTTCAGTTTTTTGGCCTAACAAGCTTTTCATGTTTTCTTTCAAACCTTTTTTTTGACATGAATTTTAGTAAAACTAAAGCGACACGGAGGGGGGCTCAGGCTGAAATACTGGCATTCAAATGTTTCTGTTCTTTCATGTTTGTTCCATTTGATTTGCTTTATGTTGTCCTCTTAAGTCATTTATTCATCCCACCATTCATTTCTTTTCCTGTCCCAAGGTTCATTGTTTCAGAAGTCCACTGAGCCCAAAGAGCAGAGTGCTTTGGGAGATCCATGTAAGTTGATATCTAACATTTTACCAGAAATTATCTTTTTTCTTGTCTTCATCTAGCCATTTCATTCTCAGAGAACTGTGTTGTTTTTAGTGTTTCATTGTTGCGCTGATATTTTTAAGAACTTGGCTTAAAAAAAAAAAATCTTCATAATAGCACATATCCCATAATGAATTGTCATGTGTTTCTCTGCCTCAGTTTTGAGTCAACCAGATTCCAGTTACCATGCATCACTATCGTCTATATTTGTTGCAGTTGTGGTTTGTTTTAGAGTACCCATATGGAAAAAAAACTGTCTAAATTATTTATAAAAAATAAAAAAAAGGAATCTATAGGTTCTCCTAAAACTCAATTGTTTTTAGAATGCACTAGAATAACTATCTTAGACAGATGAGATCTTCTCATAGGGATAAGTCCTAATTGAGAATTCTGAAAGGTTCTGTCTATGTCTAGTAAAGGGTGAGACATTTTTATAGGATACTAAAAAATACAATAACCATGAATATCTGTCATATTTCTTTTTTGGTGTCCTCCCTATCTTTTTTCTCTTTCTACCTGGATTCCATTTCTGTCGGTATATCTTTCACTCTGTCACGATGAGAGAAAATGAGCACCAACTGGGAACAAGACAGAGATCCAGAGGAGAAAGGGGAGAAAGATCTCAGCAATTTATTATCATTCTCTCTCAGAGTGCTCTCATTGGATCATTTTCATTTTATTAAAAAAAAAAAAAAAAGAATCTTGAATGTGTGGAGCTGGTGTTGTTTATGGTCTGTTGACACAGTTTGACTGTAATGACTGGCTTCGCAAAATAACAGTCAAAGCTGATATATTTAGATATACAGAATTTGAGATGCTACAGAAGCAGTCATAGCTCATTTAACAGCGTCAGTCTTAATTTCATATATCAAACATCTCATGATGATGGGGTGTGATTGTAATCACATGTTCCTAGTTTGGTTCATTAGTTAGACATTGATCTGAATGCCTACACTGCCCCATAATTTTGCAAATGTTAGTAATGTCTAAAATTCACTATATTGCTAAAAGTATTTGCTCACACATCCGAGTTGTTGGAATGAGGTGTTCCAATCATAACTATTGCCACAGGTGTACGTCTAAAATCAAGTAGTCAAAGCTGCTGTTGATGCACGTTTGGCGTTAATGTCAATAAGCGTAAAAATACAGCAGCAGAAGCTTTTTTTGCTTGAGGTCTGAACTTAGCATTACAACTGGTTAAGAAGAAACAACCTGATTGTCCCAAAGATGTTAACCTCAACTGCTTGATGCCAAAGCCGATGTTAAAAGCAACTTGTTGGACTGAGATGCACGTCAGCCTGCTGCAGTTATGTCAGGGGCTCTAGCGATGAGCCTGTGTGAGCAGTACGTCATCTTGACAGAGTTGCCATTCAGAGAAGGAAAATGCTTTGTTCAACCTAATTCTTTGCCCAGGAATCAAAGTCACTCATCAAAGTTTCACCTGTGGTATGAGTCTGTCTGCTCCCCAAAAAGATGCAAGCCTCTCCTTATCAGCCTTAGATAGATTTAGGATGTTTAGTTAAATGTAGTTACATTTTAAATTGAATTGAATGAATTATGCATCACACAGAGAAAAAGCAAACAACAAAATAAACAAAAAAAATCTTTCTACTTTGGCAATTTTGGCTTTATTTCTTCAATTTACCCCTCGGCTACAGCTGCTCAGGGGTCAAAGTAGATTTAAATTCACAGGGTTTTGATAAAAAAAAAAACTACAGAGAGAACCTTCATAATTGCCTTGTAATGCCATGGCAATCCAGACCTAACTTGAACGAATATGCTAACTAAAATGTTGAAATATTTAAAGGAAACAGAGAACATGTTTTAATGACAGTACAAGGAACCATTTATATCATATTTGAATAGATAGAAAACAGAACTATGAGAGAGAAATATTCAAAGATCTTTGTACATTTTCACGTATGCAATTAAATATTTGGTTTGGAAATAATTTATGGATTCCTTTTGGTAAAAATTTAAGAATATTTAGCATCACCTCTTGCAAGCTGGACGAAATAAATTATTGATATTTAGACAACGGGGTTGGCAAAGGTTGATCAGCCACATATAGTTTATTAAGTAGCGAGAGCAGGAAGAGCCTTACTGCTGAGAGCGAACCATAAGTATGGAGCATAAAGGGCAGACTCTGAGCTAAGTGTGCACAGAGAAGCATTTCTGCACAAGCACAGCTGGAAGTAGAGTAGAGTTCTGCACACAGTTCTGGTTTTCTGTTAGACACTCAGACCATTCTGGATTATATACTGATACTGTTTAGCAGATTACATCACAATGATGCATTTTAAATGTCTTACCGACTACCTGCTAATTTTTATTTAGTCTTGTCTTGTCTCGTTGGCTAAAACTCACACCCATAACTCTCATGTTTTCATCAACAAAGATCCATGTTAAGCTCACCAGTTCTCGTTATCGTCATGAAAAAAAAGGAGCGTCAACGAAGTAATTTTGTCATGCTCATCGTTGTCAAAAACAACACTGTTTCAGATGGTGATTGTCCACAGCTCTCCTTTGGATGCAAATCACAGAGAGGATCGACAAGCTAATCTGAGTCATCCTTTTCCCTCCTCTTGCTTAGATCCTCTCCATGGAAGATTGAAAAGACTCAGAGAATAACAAAAAGCTTGGACAATCAATAGATGGTGATTGGTACTAACTGAGGGTGAGCTGTGGGCCTCTGATTCGATTGCTCAAATGTGTAATCAAGTGCATGTAAAAGAGAGCATCTCATTTTTACACACTTCTTGAGCCTTCTGGTCTATGAATGTTTAAATACACACAGCAATTACTGGGAGAGACAATATAATTACACTCCTCCTAACCCCAAATTATAAAAAAAATTATGTAAATTGTTGAAGGTTGAGAAATTTTCTTTCAACACAATTGATGCTGACAAAAAATGCTGTTGCTAACTGCAACAACACCAAAACCAGGTAGTATGAAATATTATATTTTTTATAATATTCTTATAATTCCAGAAAGACATTCCTGTCCTGCTTAATTAAAAAATAAAAAATAAAACATATTTTTTTCACTAACTGAAATAAAAGAGATTAAAAGAACAGCTTCTTCTCCAAACCAAATCACAGCTTTTTTTTTATATGTAAACTGTAGAACTGAACAAAAAGTCATACTAAAAAAAGTAGCCATTTCTTTTCTCTTATCATTTCATATTTGTCAAAATGAAAAGGAGAAACATTATTAACAATGTGCTTGCTGTTATAAAAAAAATTAAAACAAAAGTCAACAAAATGTTAAATAAATAATAACCACAGTCACCCTTCTATTTTCAAAAACAAGGTGAATTTCATACACTAAACAGGAAAAACCTTGAAAACCATTAAGGAGATGAAAGACTTACGTGTGGAAATGGATATGCATACATGTGTTCCTGGTAGTTAACATGTCAGGACTTGCAAGGAAACTTGTAAAAATGATGGTGGTCTGCAGTAGAGATAGGGATATCACAATAATCTGTATTTGCATCAGCCTTAAAAAAAAATGGAGTTGATCTCTTCTCTGCAGACTTAGTCAAACTGTGATGTTAACTCTGTCAGTCACTGTCATTATGGCTTCATGGAGCACTTTAAGATACAATTAAATGTGCAAATATTTTTTTGTTCTCTTAGTTACCTACACAAGTCAAATTTCACTTTCATTTAAAAAGAGTGATCATGCTTAAGTGCTTATAAATCCATACAACTGCATATTCAGTGGTGTAATGTTCATATGTCTCTGTATTATTATATTGAATTAAATCAAATAATGATTTATAGATTAATTATTCTGATAAGATTAGACTTCCAGCAGAGATGTTAATATGCTTAGCATGCACAGTATTTTTTCTGTTTGTAAACTGATTAGTCAAACATTGGTAACGAGGATTGGGATCAATACAATTAAATAACCCATGCAATATGGGGGGGTTGTGCATAATTGGTGAATGTCATGGCTTAGACTGTTGTGTTGTAATGCTTGCTCTTGAGGTCAACTACACAGATAGAAATGTTGAAGCACAGATAAAAAATAGAAGAGATAGAAATAGAGAAATAAAGTAATATGGTATTTAAATGTTTTGTTCAGGTCATTCATGCTGGTAGTAACTCTTATATGCTTTATTAATTTATTAACAAGCCACACAGATGCAAATGAATAGATGCAGCTATAACAGTCATAGAAAGGGACAATGAACTAAGGGAAAGAGGGGATATCAACTTGAAAGGCAATAAAGAAGTGTTTTTAGACCACAATATAATTTAGTCTTGTTCAGTAAAACCTTAGGTTTATCAAAACATGTGATGGAGAAATCCCTTGAGAGGAGCAAAAAGTGTATTTGCTTTAGCTGCCATATATTTCATGTGTTTCTAAGTTTTACACCTTAAAGCGGAATTAAGGCAAAGATTCCATAAGCAGATGGAAATGATTATAATTAAGATCAGAAACTGCAAGCTTAAGAGGATTATCCAGTACTATTCCCTGCTGCCAAATGAAGGGACTTTGATAATAGGACAGATTTATGCAGCAGCACAGTTGAAGAATCAAAGACTTTATGGCAAACAGCCTTGGAAGAAAACTGGAGACTGGGAGTGACAATTTCTAATTAAGTAAGATATACAAAACTTTTATGCTTTAAACTTCTGTTAAACACAGTGCTCCAAGGGAGCATGTCAACACCCTATACCGTCACTTCTAACTTTTACCCCTTGGCTCACAGGAACCTTTGTGAGGTATAGGGAATGTACTGGGACTTTTGTCCTTGTTCCCACCGCTCATCCATCCCCTGCCCTCCCTAACTTCTCCACGCTTTATATCCTGTAGCCTGTTTGTTAATAAAAACTGTGTCAAAACAAATCCACCCCTTTGGTGCAAAACGCTGTACATTGGCATGGCTTAAGATGTTTCAGATGAGTTAGGAAGAAGGAGGGAAACACATAGTCATGGCTGTGATGTATATCTGGTTCCAAAAGGTCTCAAACAAACTGAAGCAGAGCTGAATGATAACAGCATCACTCTGAAGAGTCCCCCACTATACAATATAAATGGAGTTTTTAGCTGATGCTGCAAAATCTCCTGTCACAGAATTTGAGATAAATGACAAGATCAGGGGTGGTGCTAGCCATTTGGGGGATCTAGTAGCTCAAATACTCTGTCCCTAAGCTGGACATGAACAATAATACCATATTTGTCTGTTTCTGTTTATTTACAAAATAACTTTTCAATATTATTATAATTTTTTTAAACAGCTGCAATAAAACACATTTTTCACCAATAATGATACATTTACTTCCATGTTAGGCAACTGTATTTTACCATTTTAGAAGGAATATGAAAGAAAAACATCAGATGGATTTAATTAAGTAATAAATAAATTCATAACGTGATCCATTATTTGCATCTTATATTGCCCCCTTTTCTCAGCCTTTATCTTTTTGAAGGCTGAACATGGGATTATTTATCATGTCTTTGTTACTATTGCATTTATAATTTTATTCTTATGCTCAGAAAGTTTATAAATGATTTGATAATCATTTATCAGCTAGATCTAAGCCATTTATAAAAGTTAAATCCACAATTTAGTATGGTATTTATCCCACTGATGTTAGGGTAAGGATTAGTTAGGGTTAGTCCAACACGACAGGGCAAAATAAATAAGAAAATTAAAGGCTAGGTTTAGGTCTTGAATCCATCAATTTTAGGATTAGGGATAAGCTAAAATGCCAAGGCAAATAAACCAGTCAGATTAGGGTTATGGAAAAAAAACTCATTGATGTAATTTTTAGGCAAATAAGCATTACATCTTTGGGCTATATGATCCATTTACCTTTTATAAATGGTTTAGATGTAGTTTATAACCAATTGTCAAACATTTATAAACTATCTGTTAGTCAATAATAAATATTCTCATTACCATTTATAAATTATGGTTATTGTGTATATACTGTAAGTGTTGCCCAAGGTAGCTTATTGGTTGCTTTTGTAGTGGATAACTGCATCGAAATCATGCTTCGCTATGTTTTTTGTAGCCTGCCAGGCTAATATGCTGGGGGACACTGCAGACTTGTTAAAAGATGAAACTCTCCACTTATTTTTGACTAGCGTCAGAGGCACATTTTGCATCTGTCTACTGTAAATAAAAAAAGATCCCTAAAACAATAACTGGATTATAACAACTAACTGTTTGAGAAGTGGTCACTGCAGAATCTGCCAGCTCGGTTTCTTTAACCTTTCAGGTTCTTTTTGAAAGTGACAAAATAAGATGTGTCCTGTCTCCCATGTCAGTTGATACGCTCAAATGCTGAGCATAAGATTTCCACTTTTTTGTTGGTAATATGGAGAAAAACTGCAGCAGCTACTGGTTGTGTTGTCTGTACGCATTTTTTTTTTTTTTTGTCGTCTAATGGACAAGTCGTGGGTGTCATGTGATTCGCTGACATTAGCAGGATGTCCTCTAAAGAGACTTAATGAGGTTAACACATGCCACTATTTACTAGATTGCTCTATATTTATAGATCATATTGCTAATTCAAAATTGCATAATTAAATTTTAGTTATTAAAAACCAAAAAATATAAAAATTTCTTACTTAACTGATTACTTATTATTTAAATATATTTTCGATTGCACAATGGGCAAAATAGTAACAATAATAACTCATTAATATTTTAGCACTGTTGCATTGTCACTCTGTATGTGTGACTTCTCTCTAGGTTCACTGGCTTTTCACCACAGCCCAAAAACCTGCATTTTGGTGGTCCTGCATCCAGTTGAATCCAGGCTCTTAACCAGTTACCACTGAAGATAGGCACCAGAGCCCTAAAAATATAATAGAGTACAGTATAGACATTTGATAGAAACGCTTATCATTGTTAAACACAATAGTTTTAAATGCTTACAACTGAAAGACATATTTTCATACCTTTCTCAAAACATCTTAAAAAGATTAGATTATCAGCAATCTAGATGTGACTTACATTTTCATGAGGACTTAATGTAAATAAAGACTAAGCATCACCCTTATGGCCCCCAGAGATTGTCAGAGTGGTTCACAGCTCCCTCAAGTGGTATATGACTAACAAAGTACGAGACCTCTCTGTGTATGTAGTAACTGCCCCTGCATATGTGAGTGTGTGTGCTAGCCTTCATGCAAAGGAAATATATTTATTTATATATATAAATATATTTATGTGTATATATAGATATATATCTATATATATGACATAAAGGTATAGGGAACCTCTTTTTAACCAACAGCTAAAGTTGAGGAGCGGAAAAAAGGCCTTTAGGCCTTTAAAAGCAGGATTCATTTGCTAAAGCTAACAACTTAGTAGTGGGCATACATTTTAATCGAGATTAATCTCAGTGTAATCTTGGAGTTAATCGAGATTAATCTAGATCAAGATAGCTCATTTGAATTCTACCAAAGGCATTCATGATATGTGTGTGCTATCTCCTGAGTTTAAAAGGTTTGCTTTTTTTATGTTTGCAAAATCACACGTAATTTTGTCTTCTTAAGATTTTGACAAAGTTATAAATACTTTTTTTGCCAATTTTTTACTGTGTTTTTGCTGCAAAAAACTGTGTCCCACCTCCAATTATAGATGTCCCACTTTAACAATAGAGTGTCCCCAAAAATCTGACACACACGTCACCTCGATCAAGTTCTCTTCTTTCGCGGGTTTCTCCGCAGCGGGCTGGTCATGTATTCTCCTCATCATAGTTCACCTTGCAGGTAGTTGTAATATGGCTCACCTGTGGCTGCCTGGAGAAAGAGCTCGAGCCCATCAGTCATGCTGATGGGCTGGCAGCTTGTGGCTATCCACTGAGTGAGGAGATTGGTTAGCTTGGCTGATAGATGTGCGTATAGCTGCATCAATGTCAGCACATCACGTTCGATGTGGTAATTTCACAGCACACCTACACAGGTTCGAAGACTTATTTGTTCTCTGCCCCAGATATACATCCATACCAGATATAGATCTGTGCTAAAATATTAAGGTGGAAGTCCATACATGGTGTAATGCATTTCTGTGATAATTTTGTGATTATAATTTACTACTAAATATATTGCAATATATTTTTGTTTTTTTAAAGGTTTTTCACCTTGTGAAATGGTAAATTTATGCAAAATCAAGTTCATACTTTGGTAGCTTCCACTGGTGCAACAAAAACAAGTCCTTCAGCAAATGACTGCAGCTGTTTGTTGCTAAAAGCCTTTTATCTGCTCCTCAACTTTAAGGGTGGATTAAAAGGAGGTTCCCAATACTTTTTTATGTCATCTTAATAGCTACAGACAAATCCCCTCCTAGCAGTAGAGGACATGATTATGAGCCTCTTGCTTTTAAGTGTTAGGCTCGAAATTCTTTCTTGTTAAATATGTAGGATTTATTTTTATTGTGTCCTGTTCTCTCCATTCCATTCTTGATTCATTGAGCTCTACTTTTTTTAATTGCTGACCTGATTTTTTTCACTCTTTTCTTGCCTTATTCACCAACCTATCTTTCAGCTTTTTCTATTTTTATGTTTCTCTCACTCCTCTAGTTATTTTACATTTTTCTGTAACATATTTTCTCAAATGATTTTCTCATCCTTATTCACTGCTATTGTAACTGGTCCATTTTAATCCTTTTCTCTCCTCTTTCATTATTCCTCTAAGTGTGGCTTATGCCTTTTCCATTTTACATTATCCAAAAGTAAAACTTTCAGTTTCTTCCTCTGCCCTGAAACATGAATCATAAATGACTTTTTCACAGTTTCTCACTGAAACACAGTTAAAGCCCCAGCCAAATTGAAAAAGGATGTTGGGACTCTTGTAAAATAATTAACAGCCTTAGTAAGTTTTAAGATTCCAAGCTGTTCTATTTTTATGAAAGGTTTCTGTATCTGTATTTCTGCCTAGAGAAATTACCACATAAAACCAGCTGGAGGGCAGTTAGAAAGTTTCATTCGACCCTATAGAGGTTGTCCTTTGTTTCTCATTGATAGTGGGAAGGGGATGTAGATGTTTTTTTCAGCCATAGTGTTTTTCTCCAGAATGTTTTTGTCTTCATTCACTGTAGGAATATTGACCATGTTGTGTGTTTCTTTTTGTTTCCTCCAGCTGCCCCGAGTTCGGATGACGTGGCTCTCTACGTGGGCATTGTCATCGCTGTGATCATGTGCCTGTTCATCTCTGCCATTGTGGCACTCTTTGTATATCGCAAGACACACCGGGACTTTGACTCCGACATCATTGACTCCTCAGCTCTTAATGGAGGCTTCCAGTCTGTGAATATAAAAACAGCCAGATCAGGTAATAAACATATATTCAAAGTCTCACATAGAAATTTGCTAGAGGCTGATTATTTGCACATCTACTCATTGTTTGAGTTTTGTGCTGATGTTTAAATTCTAATATAATTATTTTTTTGTTGTGATCAGTAGACATGGAAAAAAGCAGAACACAAATATAGTGCATTGTGGTGCATTGTTCACCTCTAAAAAAAATCCCAATCTTGTAAGTGCATCAACAATCTTCACCTGAAAAAGAAAAAAAAATGGCAAAGCCAAAGTCCAGACTTTTTACCTGATGAAATGCTGAGGTGACCCTTTATACATCCACTGTATATAGAATTAACATCTTTAAAAAGACTTTTTCCAACACTGAAAAATGATGTGAGGAACAATTGCAAACACATTCAGACTCAGGATATTGCTAGTGAATCTTTCAATAGCTATTCAATCATGAAGTGTTTTATTCTTCACATACTTTGTTTCCATTTTGGCTTAATCTGTGTTTAATAAATAATTATCAAATAATCTAGCTACTTGTAAAGTGAGTTAGGTTCAAATAACTGTAGAATCTAATAAAGACTATATTTTCCATGACTGTACACTGCTAAATGATGGATTGTCTAATAACAGATGTGATGTTGTTTTCATGTAAATAATTCCACCTGTCACATGCTTTTTAAGGCCTTTATGCCAGTGTCATTTATTTTCTTTGCCCCAATAATGCTGTCAGTCTCTGATGGTTTGGATTAATCTATCTCTTCCAGAAACTGCTCTAATCCATCAAAGGAGATCCTCTGTGCTCCCCTCTCTGTCATTCCCCACTCTCTGTTATTTCTTTTTTCTCACTGCTTCCCTTCTGTAAATTTAATGCAATCAAATTCCCTGTTTATCAGCATTTGACTCTCTGCTTTCCCCTCCCAGATTCCAGGCTTTACATATGATGTTGTTGTTTTTTCCCCTCACAAAAACAACATCTGTCTTTATGTTTAAATTGAGCAATACTTTACATATAACTTATGCTGTCATTTTGTCATTTCCTTGCATTTTTAAATACCTCACTGTTAAAATGTTGCAACAGTATCAGGCAGCTGAGGTTATCACATTTTTCTTATGGAATTTCTGCCTATAAAACTCAGGATTTTTTTGTGCAGGATGACATTTATAAATATGCTAGCACAATCACAAGTGTAGCCATCTAGGGATGTCCTAACGTGATATTGATTATCAGCCTGCCCTTAAAATTTCCAATATTGGTACATTGATCAAAACACTATGCTTCTGTCTAGAGTTTAACCCTTTGTTAATAGGTGAATCAGATGGACTCATGCATACCGCTGTTCGCTATTGTTCTGTTTGAGTAGTATCTCTTAATCAAACCTTTGTTTTATCATTCCACACCGCAAAATAAGAATAACAAAATGCATGATTATTGCTTATATCATATCAGGTCAATATCAGTATTGGTCAATTCTCAAAGTTATTGTATCTGAAATGAAACATTCCTTATGCCAACCACTGGAAGGCATTTCCGACCCTACGTGATAAATAAATACTACATAATACAATACTAATTAAAAAACAATATTTGGAAACACCTTGAAATGAACTTATGATTTTATTAGATATGGTACTAAAATTACAGAAAGAAATCCCAAACCATTAACTGAATAGTTCAAATAACCCTCCCCTTATATTTTGTGTAAATTACCAATTTCCATGCACAACAAAAAAATATACACATGTCAAAACTAAAAATAGAATATCTGTAACTACAATTGTGTAATCTTGTCATTTGCATTTAAGTGTACTTTTGGGGAGAAGTAAGCATCTTGCAGCACGTGGAGAGTAAAGTGATCTATTTGAGCTGGCAATCTATGGATCTATGGATCCTTTTGGATGCAGATGCCCCATTTTTAAATCACTAGGTCAACATTCTTAGCTAAAATTTACTTGATTTAATTTCAAACCTATAATATATCTATCTACAGTATATTCTATAATTTCAGAAACTTGAATATCAATGACCTAAGCTACAACTGTCACATTTCTTAACAGCAGAATCATTGTATGCTAACTGAGGAAGAAAAACTGCTACAGTATTTCTCAGTGGTCCAAATTTCTTTTTTCAGATGAAAGTAATTTACCATTTGATTTGGAAATCAAGGTCCCAGAGTCTGGCAGAGTAGTGGAAGGAAACTTAATTCAAGTTGTCTTTTTTTACATTTCTGCAGTCAGTGAAGTGGGGAGCTGTATCATCTGCTGCTTTTTTCCCCTTGCCTTATCAAGTCTAAAGTTATCAGAACCTTTTTTCTAAGAAGTTCTTAATGGCATACTGGTTATTATTTCCCAGCAGCACATGGTGCATTTCTGCTGTTCCAAAACTAACTGGTTTGATACCCACTATATAACTATAATTAAGTGGCCTGCAAACTCACCTGGCCTAATAACAACCATGCAGAAGAATATAATGACAGACTAAGGATGAGCCAATGACTGGTCACATCCATCAAATGCTGCTTTGATCCAGGAATTTATACATTTTATACAAAGAGAGCAAGTACTTAGTACATGAACTGTATAGTTCAGGGATGTTGTTTTTAGATAGCTGACAAGTATTCGTTAAAATGTTTTCTCTTTTGGGTCTTACGCAACATTATGATTTCCTAAGGAAATCACTTTTTGGCATTCATCAGCTTTAAGCGGTCATAATCCAAATATTAAAAAAGGGATGGAAGTGATTTAACAGTACTCCTGTTTTTGGACTTCACTGCCTAAAAAGAGAAGCATATTTTTTATAGACTAAGACTTTTCTTGTTGGCTTTTCAAAGCACTTTTTTAAAAGCTAATTTCTGTAAAACCGTTAGCCCTATTTGTGAATAGTAAAAGGTTTGTGTTTATGTGGCAATTTGAGCCTGGGTGATTAGAATTCCACTCACTGTTTACAATTAAAACAAGAAAGGAAGATCTGAGAGGGAGTAAAAACCCTAGCAAGCTATAAATAAATATTTATATTCCGTGCTGAATGTCTTGTGTAGGCTATACTGTAGACCGGGGAATATTTAATCTGTGAAGCATTGCAATGGATGTCAATGTGGATTGAGGGATGACCTCTGATTGCTAATAATGAAGAATGATGTCCTTGAATATATCTACTTCTTTCATAATTTTTCCTCTACTTCTTAATTAAATTTCAGCAGGGCTTATTTAGCAGGGATATCCATTTACTTTAAGGGTAAACAGCATAAATGTAGAGATACTAAATGACTGATTGCTCAAAAGTGTGTGTGTGTGTGTGGTTGGTTGAAAGGAAGGTCATGACGACTGACTATAAAGTAGGAAGTGTCTCTTGAAGGCCACAGCAGGATTTCACATGCTATGCCCCAAATAAATGAGCCTGATGTGAACAAAGCTAGATTTGTTCTCAGTAGGCAACTGTCCTTCTGTGATCAAAGCAAAATTTTGTAAGTTATGATTATGTTAATTATGGTTATGCCTCCAGCCTGCTTGGACAGCCCACTTATTATTACATGAGGCTGCTCTTTATCAACTGTGAGGTAATGGAGGGGACAAATTACAAGCTGCTGTAAATTCTATTTTTTTTTTATATTGAAACCATATAAAAAGAAGAATTGCATGACATCCTTTGGAAATTGGTTACTTCTTCATTCCTGAACAGTAGCCTTCTCTGACAGACATCCAGAGTGACATACTGAGATCTTTACCCAGGGCATTTAAGATGTGCAGCTTTGAGGCATGTCATTGTTAACCGAGAAAGAGGAAGTTATCATTCAAATGTTCACAAATGCTGCTTTAATATTTATTACAAATATGTTGAGCAAAAGTTACTTTATTAAAAAGCTTTATTTAAAGAAGATAACCAGCAAGTTTTAACTTCCTTGTTTCAACCCACTTCCTCATCTCACCTTTGTAATAATTAATCAAGCTTTAGATTATCCAGTAAGTGAATGTGTCAAATGTGGGCCCTGTCTGGTTTCTGTTTTTAAGATAAGTAATAATTTTTTCAAAAGAGCAAATTCTGGGATAATTAGGTTCTCAAAAATACAAGTAAAAACTCTGCTGAAATCAGTTATGGACTGCAGATACTGCAGAGAAAAATAATAATAACAATAACTGTTGAATAAGTATAAGTTTTATTAAGTTGTTGTTACCTATATACTTCCAATTCACAGCTAATCCCATTAAATTACATGCAGGTAATGCTCAGCTATAGATTAATTTGATAAATTTGAGATTAGCTTATTCCGGTACAAATAGTCAAATAGTTTCAGTCAGATTCAAGTTCAGTCCAGTCCTTTCATCATTTAATGTGAAATGGCAAAAAGTTATTTATCTAGGAAAGTCCAGCTGACATTCACGCAACTAAAACAGCTAATATAACACTCTACATGTTTATATGCTGAAAATGTGAGTTCTTTCTTGAAAATGCAGACTTTGGGCAATGCATCTTCAAGTTCAAGTAATTTCATTCTCCTTAATGGGAAACGTATTGCACTGGCAGGTTTTTTAAAAAGAAAGAAATGGTGGAGTGTGTCACTGAATGCAGAGGCTTGCCATTAATGCAGGGGTGTGGGGTTAAGTCCCAACCCTGAGACCCTTTATGCAAGTCGTCCACTTCTCATTCTACCCATTTCATCTCAGTCTGCCACAAAGGAAGGTCACTAGCACTAACATAAGAAATGGTGATGATTTGATTTGCTTTGTGTAGAAAAAAAAAAAGGTGCAGGCCTCACTCTAGGGGTAATGAATATGTTTTCCAAACTTGAAACTATTCAATCACTTGGAGCAAATCTAAGGCCATTCCTATTTCATTTAATAGCTGTTTTTTCTCACTGCCTCCTTCAAGCAGCTCCACATGTGAAATCACTATGACCAATTCACAATCCAAATCATTACTGCTCTGCTATCCTACCAGCTTCATATTACTCAGAAGTCATGCCTACCTTCATGTTAGTGCCCTTACTCTGACTTAATGATCTTGCAACAATTTCGACTCGCGTAATGCTGAAAAAAGGTTACTTAACACGACCCATCACTGTCCTTGGTGAATCAGGTGCCATATTGCTTCTCTTTCTTGTATCAGATTTAATTCAATGATTATCCCTTTTGTCATGTCATTTCAGCTGATCTACTGACTGCACCTCCTGACCTGACAAATGCAGCTGCTATGTATCGTGGCCCAGTTTATGCCCTTCATGATGTGTCTGATAAAATTCCAATGACCAACTCCCCCCTCCTGGAGCCTCTACCTAACTTGAAGATCAAAGTCTATAACTCATCAGGTCTGGTCACACCACCAGATGACCTCGGTGGGGACTTCACTTCAAAATTGTCTCCTAAGGTAGTTACAAATGCATCCACTAATACTGTAGATATGAGGCACAATCTTAAATCTTCATATATTAATGTTTTCTCACTGCAAAGGTTTATTGTTGGCAGGAAAAACATCAGATATTGTCTATAGTATAACAGTACAAAAAAACTGGATTTGAAAATGCAGGTGTCTCTGGTGGAAGACAAAAGCAAACACTATTAGTATACATATGGTTTGGCGCCCCAGTTTCTTACCTTTGCTCTGACAACTACATGGCATGCATACTAGAGCCAGTTGTCACACAGAGATGAAGCCACCACCAGATTCATCACAGTAGCTGACCGGAGGCAATGTTAGAGTTTAGCTCCTCATCTCTACATGATGATGATGGTGATGGTGCATTAAATAGTATAATTGCTTTTTTTTCTTACCTTAAATGTTTTGAATCACCTGCTGTGGCTAATAGATGAAATTGCCTCACTTTTGTAATCAGATTGTTTTTATTGAAGTCACACTTTATGCATTAAACTGCATCTAGTTTTTCAGAACACCGGTTTGGATGTAAACTAGTACATTTTACATTTCTGCAGTGTAGAACAAAAGAGAAAAACTGCAAGAGCAGCTAAAGGTAGAAACATACTGTACACTAACTCAGTGTTTCCATGGACAGTGAAAATCTTTATAATCCTTTAGTTGTAATTGTAGCCTTTCTTATAGAATTCTATATTTTATTTTACATATGTTTGTGTGTGCCTTTTAGCATTACATAGTTTAGAATATATATTTTTATTTTTTCCATGGATGGATAGTTCTAAGTATCTGGTGTAGCACTCAATACATACAAGTTTATGTCTCATCTCATAGGTCTTCCTCGACATCTTTTTGTCATTTTGACTATTGCCATTTATTATTCCTAGGTTACACAGTCTCTTTTGGACAACAGTGACACCCTGAACCTTCGCAGCCAGAGTTTAGCCCGGACTAGAGATCCCTCCTGCACTGCCCATGGATCCTTCAATAGTCAGGGAGGACACCTCATCGTACCCAATTCAGGTTAACTTTGTGAATAAACATTATATAAATCTATAATGAATCTAACTTATCTGTCTGTCTATAATGTAGATAGATAACAGTTTCAGAAATTGTTACCATGGCATAAACCTGTCAATCAGTTGGAAAAAGTAACAATAATTCATTAATATGTTTTATTTTGAACAATAATTTGAACTTTATCATAGGCAAGGTTCTTTTGAATATTCACATTTTGTAATAAAAACAAAATGTTTAGTCTACTTCAGTTAAATAGTGGACATTTTTGCATAACAACCCCTTTGCTTCAGCAGTGTTTTATAATGTTTTAATAAAAAAAAAAACAATCAGCCACTTCCCTTCAAAACAATTACATCACTTCCTTCAAAATTATTTGACCAATTAAAACTGAGGGGAAAGGTTTTCGGTGAAAGGCAACTACACAATGTTTAATCCTACAACTTGTGGATCACTAAAGGTGTCTATCCATCTGTTACATTGGCGTGGGCTTTGTTTGACTTTAAATTTGGACCTACAGTACAGATACAGGCTAGTCTCCTATGTTGGTTGAAATGTATTTCTCCTGACATAGTCTGTTCCCCTGACTTCTTTAGGTTTATATATAGTGATGTTGACTGTAGTTGATTGTAAATGGGTGATGGGGATAGGCTTGTGTATGGTAAGCAGACAATTTGCAGTATGGGAAGAGAATAGGCTTTTAAGACAGGATTCAAAGATACTATGAAAAAAAAAAACAACACTTAGGGTTTAATTTCAGATTTCCTCTTGCATATGTCTGTTGTGTTGTCTTTGAAACCTTGAGATACTTATCCAAATTAATTCACATGTTGGCACCTCAAGATACCAACATGTGGGTTCATTTGAACAGCAGATAGGACCAATGACTCAAGTGAACTTAACGGCCCAATAAGCCACTTTAAAGACCTTATTTAGAGCCTTACCATCCATCTTAGTCTTATCATTTGGACTGCAGTTTAAGTTCTTTATTGTGTTAAAGAAATAAAAGAAGTACAGGCCTATTAAAAGAAAAGTTTAAAATTTTTTAAAGGTACGGCAGCACTTCCAGCAGAACGTCATTTCAGTTGCACTGCCAGAAAAAAATCTTTAAAACACAAAACTAGAGTGTAAAATGTAGAGCCTTTATGTCTGAGTAAAACAATATTTTAAAGGGGGAAAAAATGAATAGTCATTTAATAATGATGATAAATAAATGAAATCCCCACAAGGACAAGATTTTGTTCTGTTCCCAAAGAATAATATTGCTCTTGTTTGAATAATGATTTCCCTTGTGGGCAGTGTATTAAAGAGGATCAAATATTTGTTCAGGTTTTTTCTATAATCTGAACTATTCTTGTTGGATTTATCTACTCTTTAGTATTCTTATGTAATTTTTTAAAGAAGAAAGTTGGCAATGATAATGAATAATGCAACCGGTTGAGATATGAAGCAGTTTTAAACTCTACGGTATGCATATTCAGCTGAATATATATCAAAGAGAGGGTAGTACATGGGACGCCTTTAAAAACTGTGTTTTAAAAACATTTATCAAGGTGATAGAATAGGGGCTGGTTGTGCATTCAATGATTCAGTTGTGCATTGAGAAATGTATTTATGTAAAAATAAACTTATTTTGCCTTGTCTGTTTTACCGTATACACTTACCTTCCTGCAGGTGTGAGCTTGTTGGTGCCAGCAGGTGCCGTCCCACAGGGTAGAGTGTATGAGATGCATGTCACTGTGCACAGAATGGACAACTTAAGGTAAATTTTGAACATATTTATGTAAATTTCAGATCTTATCAACTAAAATTTTGGTTTACCGTTTTGCTCATGGTACAGTATACAGTAATTCCCACTCTTTCTCTGTTTTACTTACATTTTTTTTTTATTATTATGAATGCATGCTTATTTGATGCTTGTATCAAAGTTTTGTATACTGTCTTACAAATAAGGGACAGAAAGAGATTGAACGTATTTTTTTTTATGTTATTTTTTTTTTTTTATTATATGTTGTATAATTATTGATCATAGATATAATCCTGGTTTGTCCACATACAATAAATACAACTGCCTTGTATCACCAAACAAACACCAATTCTAGCACTGGAACTGAGATGAGCTAATCAAAACAGCTTGTCTTACACATCATGATAAAACAATTAGTATCACAATCTATGTAGTATTTCATCTATTAACATTGTTTTCTTCAATATCTAATTCACAGCAAATACTATATAGTGGAATATAAGGTGCTTAACATCAAAACTGCCAAATATAGACCAAACTAAGGCAGAGTGTCGTGCAAAAAAACAGATTTACATTTCTCGCTTATGGTGTTTTGGGACCAAAAACAAACATGAAGCTTTTGAACGTAAATTATGTAGTTTGTGTTTTTGCACATTAACTCAGATTAGTGGCTAGTTTGGGGATTACTGTAATCCTATTACTTGCATAATAATTATTTACTCCTAAATCCTGACATGTTTGAAGTTGAACCTTTTGTGATGAACAGCATACTGGGGAGAAGATTTTTGTAGTTTTACTCTTTATTTTGAAAGCTGACTGCACGCATTGGTTTTGGAAGCTGCTCAATTTCTTTTGCAGTCTTTTAAAAGCAACGACACAAACGTGGGTTCATGTGAAAACAGAGATGCACTTTAATAATGATTTGGGTAAGTAGAACTTTAAAGATTCTGTAAAACTAAAAGACACAGTCTGAAGTAAAAACTCAGTCTCTGGATCTTTCCAGTGCATCTCTCAATAAATGTGGATCGAACATAATTAGGACCTCTGCTGCTTGCGGTAGTGTTTGTAAGAGTCAAACAACTTCTGTGTCCTCTGACTTCATCTCAGTCAATAACTGGCAAGCAAAACTTATAAGGCCAGTTTCATCGACGTACCTCAGCAATAAATTGGCAAGCAAGAATTTTGTGCCTTACTTTATGATAACATAAGGGATTAGTTCAGTCAAAGACCACCACCACCAAACACACACATAGAACTTAAACAACATATTTCCATGCTTCTATTATAATAGAAAAAATAATGTAAACATTAAATAGCCCAAAGTTACTCTTAACCCTGGAGGATAAAGGTTAACTGTAATCTTTTCATTTCATATTGGTGAATTTCATTTGAGTAGATATAATTTTAAAATGTTGATTTTGGAGTGGTCTGGCAAGTTTTTATTTAGTTCAGGGAGCAAATCAAGACCAAAGGAAATGATCAGAATCGAAGCAATTGAACAGCTGGTCAGCAATCCCTTGAAGGGTGGAAATACTTCAATGTCAATATAGGTATTTTATTTATTATTACTTTTCAACAAATATAATACAAAATAACACTTTATATAATTGGCACCCATTTTACATTGTTTTATTTTAACTTCAGAGATACCTATCTCTGAAAAAAACAAACTTCTTTATTGAGTAGAAATATTTTTAAATCGCCGTCCGCCAGAGTTATGAGTATTTTTTGGTAATAAACTGAATATGTTCAGTAAACCTTCAAATCCTCAAAGGTACAGACTCAAGGGCAATATTTGAGAAGTAAGGTTGTTTAACTCTTGCTTTAATCACCTTCCCCTGCTAACTTTGCCACAGTCGATGTTGAGATGTAGTGATTGAATCAATATTGCTGATAAAAAGCAGCACCCTATGAAAACAGTGAGATAAAACTTTGATCTCTAAACTCTAGATCCGACATAACATGGGGCGTAACGGTTAATAATTACCCTGAATTGGTCGTTTGTACTCACTTTGAGGATTACATGCTCAGTTTGAGATTTATAGACAATAGAGGGTCTCTAAATGATAATTGATAATGGAATCAATTTTGATTAGTTATACATTTTAAACAAGGTACACAATAGCAGACAACTGATCTACTCCTGTAATGTAACATACAAACAGTCATCTTAGTGCCAATTATAGCATAAAAGAAAAAAATAAACTGCAATCTTTTTCTTTATGCCTGTTAGCTTGCAACTACTGTGTCCAGCTGTAACTGATGGTACCGATTATTCTCCAAATTAATATCTGCTGTTTGTCGTTGCTTGGTTACTTACCGAAACAAGCTTATTTAGCCCTTATAATTTCTATAGTAATGACATTTACCCATTCTATGTATTCTGTCTGTTTTTTTTATATAGTTACTTTAGATCAGAATTTAATAGTTAAACTCAATAATGCATTTTGTTGAGCCGAATGTGTGCTAGTCAACAGGATTTTTACTTTTCTCCTAATAAAGCAAATTTATAGAGGACATTTTTATATGGTTTTTGCAACTATTACAATTTAAACCTTCTGATAAATTCCTGCACAGTTATGTCATTTTTGCAGCAAAATTACCATATGGACTTAAGAATTTTTTGTACAAAAAAAAAATAAAATCTCTATTATCAAGTGGTGACTTTTAAGAGTAACAGTGTTTATACACGCAAAGATTAGCAAAGACACACAAAAATGTAAAAATACAAGTAAATATAAAGTTCTCAGTTTCTTTTAATAAAGTGTTTGAAAAATCAATTTGTTCGTCCTCACTTTAGTGTTTCGGATGCCGATGTTCAGTTCTGCTACTGTCAGCAAGGGGGGGGGTTAAGTTGCTTGAGGACCCAAATGCAGAGATGAGTTCTTGTAGATTTAATAGGGCAACTGAGACAGACATCCAAAAAACATCAGGGAAAACTCACGTGGGGAATCAGAGACGAGAAAGCAATTCACAACAACAGAGAACCAGCACTGAGTGACTGCAGAGGTGGAGTATATAAGGAGACCAGAACAAAGGATGGACTAATGAGCTGAATAAAGAGCAGGTGTGAGTGGAACTAACTAGAAGGAAGCCAGAGGGAAAGGAGACAAGCACAAGCGGGCAACAGAGAGTAACCAAATATTACTTGAATATAATGTAAAATAAACCGAAGATCAACAAAACAGAATAACTAATAACTGAAAACTAAAAACTCAGAGTCCTAAAATTGGAGAACCATGACAGTACAGATAACAAACCAATCCATGTAATTCCAAATGCTCCAAACTCTAACTCTTGTTCATCCAGTCATTGTCAATTTTTTTATGTAAATGGAGGGGCTCTATGGAGAAGACCCATAGGTGGGAACAGGCTAACAGAGGCAGTTCAGTGAGTGGATGTAGTATGAAATTCTTTTCAGAAAATTGACTTGTTGTAGCATATAAAGCAACATTGACTTATTAGGAATATTTCAATCAAAAACCTGAGGCACAGAAGAAAATGAAGAAATACTACTAATTAGGTAACCAAAGCATAAAATAAAAATTTAACAAATTTAATTAAACAGCAAATGTTAATCATGTAACGGTATTGAGATATTGACATGTTATCCCTATTTAGACGCATATTTAAGAGCAATAGTGATGTAAAAGCTGCACTCCTAGGTATGCAAACAGCATGATTAGGGCAAATACAGTGAAAGCTAAAGCTTGACATATTATGGATTGCGATAACAATCAGGGACTGAATCTGGCTGTGATGAAGGGTGAAGCAGTACAGTGGAGATAAAGGAATGCTCTTTAGAGGTTTGAGAATGACTTTGAGTAAATCTGTATTAATTTAGCCCTTAAAAGGTTCATTAAATTATTCATTATTCGTCCTTCTCTTGTAGCTCCAGAGCTGGTCCCAGTCAGCAACTGCCTCTGCCCTGCTCTGGTGCTCTCTCTGTCCTGCCTCTTGCTCCTTTATCCCAGAAGCAGGGCACGGCCAGCTACCTCTGCCCAGCTTGGGTACTCTCTCTGCATTGATTCTTGCTCTGAACTCCCACTGCTCCTTTCTGAGCTCCAAAGCGCCACCAACACCTTACCTCTGTTTTCAAATGATCCTCCCTCAAAGCTGGATAAAAGTTTCAGGTTCTGGTCAAAGGGAATTACCATGGAAAATGACTGTAAACCAGCTGTACGTCCTGGACTCCGCAAACTGGTAGAATCTCTGGAAGACATTGTGGTTCAGTTTAGGTTATTTTGTTTTATTAAAGTCAGAGAAGTGTTGTAGAAAACTATGTATGAGCACAATGAAGGGAAGAAAGTAGGAAGCTTGTGACACCATTTAGTATAACAAAAAAAATGTTTAGGACGACATTCTAATCTGGGGGTTGTTGGACACGTAAATCCTCAGATCTAATCCCCACTAAGCTTGTCCCTTAGCTAACAAGCTTTATGAATATGATGATTTTATTTTCTTGCAGGAATTATTATCTGTTCATACTTCAAATTTTTCCAATACTGTAACGACCATGATGCGACTATGGTGGACTGGTCAAAGACATTTTTCTTACATGAACCCTGTCAAAAAACTAGGGAGCATCTTGAGAAGGAAGGTGAAAGAGACAGGACCCAATATTCTTGTTGAAATAAGGTTATTGGATCTGCTCTTAACACCTGAGGAGATTCTGTCTCGGCAATAATTCATGTAAAACAAGCCAGGGCCAAGTATTAAGCATGCAGGGAAATGTAATGACATATTTTTTAGTAGGTCAAACTTTTACTTATAAACATTACTTAAATATTTCTCTTGAAAAATGTTATCACTTATAAGTAATATTTAAGTTCTTTCAGGAAATAAATTTGTGTTTTTATTATTTTAAAGCCAAAAATATCTAAATCAGCAGGCATAGATGCCAAAAAATTGATATATGTGTCTTATTAATCAAAACACAAGTTTCTCTTTTCAATCTAAAATAATTGAATAAAAATAGTTAAAAAATAGTACATATTTGGGCTGCAACTTTAAATGTAAATAGTCATAGTGTGTAGCTGTTTGTAGAAAGGTATTGAATCGCTGAATATCTAGTTAGTAGGCGATAATTGAAAGGATTAGATCTAATTAAAAGTTTGTTTAAGGGATTCCTTTATTGCTTTATTTTTTTTCATAAAAAGTTTTGGGACATCATGGAACCAAATCACAAAGTCAGCAATTACGCATTTTCCGATTCATTTTCAGTAACCTTTTTATAATATCCAGGCTGCTGGATGTCTTCTCATTTTATTCATTAATTTGATACAAATGTTATCTATCATTTCCAGACCCCCTGTTGAAGACATTCAGACAGTTCTCAGCCCAGTGGTGAGTTGTGGACCTCCAGGTGTCCTGCTGACCAGACCAGTGATCCTCACCATCCACCACTGTGCAGACAATGTCCATGAGGACTGGCTCATACAGCTCAAGAATCAGTTGCCCATGGGAGAATGGGAGGTAAGCTCCCAACTCTGTACCAGGAATGTCTGCATTTCTATGTTAAATTCCTTTATAATGCTTCCACTACAGAAGTTTCATCTATAGAGCAGATGGGTTTTATAATTCAACTTAATGTAGATATAATGATGTGAATGAGCATATGTGGTTAAATATTAGTCAAAACAAACCAATATTATAAATAATTGTAGAGCTAAACCTGTTCTCTGCCAAATTGCTAATATGAGCTCATGAATATGCATAGCTTAGACATGCAGACACTCACATTAGAAAAATAACCTGAATTACACAGATATGGTGTGTAGCTGGTGTGGAATGGAAAGGAAAACGAAGAATGGAAGACAGAATGTGGTAAACAGAAAGTGCCTACAGGCTAGTAGACAAGCAGGGGGTTGAAGACTCCTATCAGAGGCAATTTGTTATGCTCCCTCTATCCTCCTCTTCTTTCATTTCACTTCCTATGTGTCTATCCCTCCCTTTCTTCTTCCCTTCTTCTTTCCCCTTCACATGTCTCTCAGCATGAAGTCTCTACCTCAGCAATCTATTTCTTGTGTATTACTTAGACTGCATGTGTAAACGTGCACATGTGTGTCAGTCCTTGTGTGTGGGTGTGGGTGATAAGGCTGTCTTGCAGCATCACTGTGTCAACCAGGCCCCCGTATGCTGTCTTCTGTTGCTTATCACAGCTCAACACAATGTCTCTGCACAATTAGCCATGCATTAGATTCAGTGTGTGTGCGTCTTTGTGTGCGCATCTGTGAGGGGTGACGGCAGAAGAGGTTTCAGAGCCGACTAAATAAAGATGAATAAAAATGAAAATGGAATTTCATCATAAAGTTGGTCTCTTTTTTTTTTGAGGGGGGGTTCTCTCATTACTGTTATACATTTATTTCCCATCAGAAATTCTCGCCAAAACAGGTGGAGGGAGGTAATTGAATTCCCCTCGTATCAGAAGCAGCAGCCACGGTTGTGATTACCAGTAATAACAGATTCCGACCATATTGCTTTCTTACCTCTCTGTATTGATTCAGCTCATCTCTAGAAACAGAATGCCACATGAACTGCAAATCGATGCAAGTGGTTTTATCACATGTGCATATAGGCCACGTTACCATACTATGCTGCTGTCTGCAGGCATGGCCTTAAAATTTTCAACACACGTGTGACTAAAGATGCTGCCATCATATAAGAGGAGCTTAGAGAGAGTGTGCAGCAAATATCTAACTAAAATAAAAGGTTCGCATATATCGTAGAGGCAAATGTAGCATTATCTCTTAAACTTTTGCAATGGTAAGAAATGATGCCAACTATATATTGTATCTTTATTTTACAAATAAACATATCAAAGAAAAAAGTTAAGCATTGGTTTAAAGCCTACTTTGAAATCATTAAATGAAATTTGGAGCAAGAAAACTGGACAAAAACTGTTTTCTATTCACAGATTTTCTTTGCTTAATACTCAACAATTACTGTACAACTGTTCTAATAAAGGTTAAAAATGTTGTTAATAAGCTCTACAGCAAAGAAAATTGCCCTGGTTATCTTACAGAGAAGTGTACAATTATTGCCATCTACTGTGAACCCTCACTGTTTCTTCTGTAAAAGAAGATGTTTTCATAGTAAACAGTCATTTCTGTATTAAATCCAGTCAATAATGAGTTTTCTTTGCCACTGGCTTATTATAGTAGGTTAATGTCTCCCAACAGATGTTTGTCAGTAATGAAGGCTCTGCTTTGGTCAACTTTTATCATTACAGTTTACTTAACAATCGTGACCGGCAGATAAAAGAAAAATCTTGTGACTTGTCTTTTTGTGTGTGTTCCCTGCAGGATGTTGTTGTGGTGGGAGAGGAAAACTTTACTACCCCCTGCTATGTGCAGATGGACTCAGAGGCTTGTCACATTTTGACAGAGACACTGGGCACGTACTGCCTGGTGGGCCAGTCAATGTGCAAAGCGGCCGCTAAAAGGCTCAAACTGGCTGTTTTCGGGCCTGTCTCCTGTACAACTGTGGACTATCACATCAGGATTTATTGTTTGGATGACACTCAGGATGCACTTAAGGTAATTTCTAAAAACCAACTGTATTAAAAGTTCAGTTTCTTTAAAACAATGTTTTTTAAATACTTTATACCTTAGTTAGTTCTATTGAGACACAAATGCTTCAAAAGCACGGCATACAATTTAGCAACAGCTATGCCAGGATTTTGTAATGCTTTGAAAACTACTGAAGAGTTTTTCTTTTTCACCTCTCATATTAATATTCTTTCCTGATCATTTGCATTTGAAATTAGCTACAATACAGCTAAAACAAAATGGATTTTATAAAGTCATGAGCAGAAGCATCTTCACCCCTCGTCTTGTGGAGATGCGCCAAGAAGCAGTAAACAAAACAGGGTCAAGCAATGTCAGAAGAGAGATGCATTAGAAATTTAAACAAATTCAAAGCACCGGAGGGGCCATCTGATATGGGAGATTAACATTGGTAATTTATTCGCGCAGTGATAAGTCAAGTGTCACTGCGGCACACAGCCAGGCACATAATCGCGTAAACATCAACACGCACTCAGTTGGACTAGCTGAAGTAAACCATTGTTGCTTGAAAACAAAGTTCAAAGGCTGACTTTTAATGATGAAAAGTTTTTTTGTGGGTTAGCTTAAGTTTAAGAGCAGACAAAGGGAAGTTTGTCCAAGATTGATCATGGCAAAAAAACAATGTCTAATTTCTGCTCTTAAAAACTTAGACAGTATCTTAGGGTTTATTTTCTTTCATTTGATCTTTTTGTCCACAGTACAACAGCCTGCAGACGTTAGCCTTATTTGCATTTACTTTTGTATACTCTGATGTGTCTAAAATAGTACCATGCAATTCATTAACAATTCAAATGTGATGGATAACCTTAAAATGGTAGCAAGACACAACAAAGTAAGGCTTATTTCACAATATACAATAGACATCTGTATTGGATAAAATCTCTTTATGTCTTGAAATATGATTAAAAACTAACAACTAAGGCAAAGTTGAATTTCTTCTAGCTGATGTGTTTCCATTGTTTAAGGTTGATTTTACAAATAAAGGAGTTGATAACAGAAGATTTGGAAACATTTTGAGAAGAAAATACTTATTTAGATTTAAATTTTCAACGGTATATGTGCTGTAACACTGGTGGTTTATTTTCTTCTTGAATGTTCATTGCAACATTGTGCCAACATTCATAGGTTCATATCCCCTTCAATTCTTTTTTGATTGCCAAATGTTTAACATTATTGGAGAGGTCTTTAACTAGCTGTAAATAAAACAAAATGGCCCCAGGTAGACTTGTTAATGGATTTGCCAAGGTATGTCACCTGTTATTAAGACAATACAGACACAACACAGCTTTCTTCTTTTTGTCAGGATTTGGCTATCTTAGTCCCATACCTACTGTGATTCTTGTAAAGAACCTATAACGTGAATGGAATCATAGAAAAAAATTAAAACCAACCTAAATTTTAAAGCCATGAATAGATAATAGATTAAATAATAATTGTGAATTCATAAATGTTTCTGATAGCTATAAACAATATTACATTTTCTATTCTAAGAACATGTGTCTGAAGTAAACGTACGTTGTTTTCAATATTTTAGTGTAAAAATTGCTGGCATGATAATTGGTCTATATTTCTATATGTTTCTGCACTGTACAGCTTTACTTAAATATTCTTCACCTCTAATATTTACCTCAGTAGCCACATTGTTATTAAAGCATTAAGAAGCATAATGCTAGAAATTTTTATAGCCCTTTGCAATTATCACTAGGTTAACCAAAGTTCCTTACAATGAGTGAAATAAAATGAAAAAAAAAGCACACAAACATAACAGCATTAAACAGCATTTAAAGCTATCTATTTCTTAAGTCTTAGTTTAACTGAGAGTTTGTTCCAAAGTCTAGGAGCTGCTACTAAAACTGCTGAATCCCCCCAGTGCTTATATTTAAACCTGGGCTCTTCAGAGAGTAGTTGATTGGAGACCCCCTAGACTCAGCAATACACCAACACAATGAAAAGATGCCATAAACATGACAGAAAAAATAAAAATAAAATATGTATTAAAAGTTTAAGTAAACGGGATTCAACTACTGATGTGATCCATTTTATTATGGTTTATCATTAAGCAGCAATATTCTATATAGTTTGGAGGTCAACTGAAATACAGGGAATTGCAGTTGTCCAGATACAAAGTTAAGAAAGCGCAGGCAGTCTTTCCAAGGTCATTGTGATTAAAACGATTTTGGCTTAGGCCATAAGTAAAATAAACTTTCCATAAGCAAATGTGTTTATCCATTTGTCACATTATAAATTTGAGTAATTTGATTAAATCCAGGGAACAAAACCAGTTAAATATGTGATACCATCTAAATCAGTAGTTCCCATTTGTTTCAAGAGTTTATCACTCATTGTAGGGAGTAATTACACAAGACTAATCTTTTGTGAAATGTTTTACAAATGACAATTATGAGTGGATGATATTAAGAGACACAAAGCTGTGGATGAATTATAAATTAGTTTTTTTTTTTTTTTTTTTTTGTTTATTTCTCACTACTCGTTGTACATAGGAGGTTCTTCAAATGGAGACCCAAATGGGAGGGAAGCTACTGGATGAGCCAAAGACTCTGAACTTCAAAGACAGCACACATAATTTGAGACTGTCGATTCATGATGTGCCACATGCACAGTGGAAAAGTAAACTTATCGCAAAATATCAGGTGAGAGAAATCTATACAGGAGTCAGCACAGAACTAATAATACACTACATCCAATGTAGTATACTGTACATGGAATGCTTGGACATGCAATGCTGAATTATGCAATGTTATGGTATGTTTTCTTTGCATGCTCTGCAGGAGATACCTTTCTACCAAGTATGGAGTGGCTGTCAGAGAACTCTTCACTGTACCTTCACTTTGGAGAGACTGAGCTCAGCCACCACAGAGGTCAGCTGCAAGCTGTGTGTGCGGCAGGTAGAGGGAGAAGGGCAAATCTTTCAGATCAGCAGCACATTAGAGGAGGTAAGTTTTTAGAGTGCTTTCAGACTAATTTACATGTTTACATACTCAGCAGATCGAGACAAACAGCATGTGCATGCCAACAGGCAAGCTCAGATGTGTTATGCTAATACTATTTGTGCAAGTTAATTGCAGAAGATAGGTTTCAAAAAGCAGAACAGCTTTACAAAGTAACACTGTAGATTATTTATTTGCCAGTTATTTTTTTCCTATGTAAAAGGTGCTAAAGTCACAATGTTTTTTCTCTTTTTCTTGACACTGAGGCAAGGTTTCTGTTATGGGTCTGTGGCACTGCTCAATCATTCATGATGCTGCTACAGGTTCCATTGTGTGACGAGAATAACTCTGCTTTGATTTTGTGTGAGAGTGTAACCAAAAAGTCACAGAAAGAGTTGTGTGTTTATGTCAGATTTTTCTTGCTGCAACTAATAGGAACAACATTACATCTTTTGCATTTTTGTGGGGTTTTTTGTCCTTCTTTTTTAAGTCTTGCAATTTAAATCTTTGGATATAAACTAAAGGATTTTTCCCACATTGAAATAAGTGTGAAAACTGCCCTTATTTTGTTCCCCTGTTCACTGGATGATTGGCATAATAATAATGTAACCTGTTGTTTTCTTTTAAAATTGAACATACGGCTTTACTTTTAAAGATATTCTCTATTTGTGGATTGACTTTTATAACCATACACAAATTATTTTATCTATTGATTGCCCCCTAATCCAAGCTCTGCTATGTGCTCCCTTATGCCACTGTGCATGCCATGTCACTGCTAGTTTCCTCTTGCAGCACAAGCACTCTACTAGTGTTTATATATCCAGTGAGCTGTGGTGGATTAAAACTTACAAATGGCTAATCTAACAAAGTACAATGTAACTATCTTCTTTCGCCAAGTTAGTGTGCATGAGGTTGACGATGCTCTTGCTCGCTAATACATGCACATTTGATAGATATTCCCCCTGAGGAGCAAGAGAGCAGGTAGAATGGTCTTGAGCATGCGCAGTATTAAAAATGTAACTTGGACATTTCTAGCCTGCATGTACACAAAATATAAATTTTTATACCTTTAATTATGCGCCCACCATTCCTATGTTCGCTCAAGGTAAAAATCAAAGACTTGAGGATTTAAATATTAAATAAGCTCATACAAGTAAACTGTGTCCAAACATCTAACGCCTAAATCCCTCAATCATTATATAGAGTGGGGAATATATAGTGAACTTCATAGCAAACTCAATTAACTGACCTTTTGGACAGATTATCACTACCTTTTGCTCCCTGTTGGTCACGTAACTCCTCCTCCACTGTTCGTTGCCTGCGCCATCTTTGTTGGTCGCCGCTGTCGGGTAGCGACAGCCTATGGCGACAGCAAATCCCATAATGCTTTGCGAGGAGAGCTTTCTGCGCAAAGCATTTTGGCATATATCTGCCTCTTCTGAGGCCTTTCTTATCTTCTCATTCACTTCGTAGACACATTTTCAAAGAACTGCGGGGAGAATGGTGAACTTCAGTGACTCACCGAAACGGTTGCTCACTGCACATATACGCCTGAAAGTGCACATGCGCAAAAAAAGATAGCTAACAGGGGACGAGCACGTAGGATGGCCTTACATAAACATATCACCAGAATAATTGTCAATGAGGAGGACCACTTTTTTGATAATCCACCTAGAAAAAAGAAAATCCTCCACTATACCTTTAAGTTGTCTTTCATTATAAAGCGCCTTTTCTGTAGCAGTACAGAGCATCAGCTAAATACTATGTACAGCTGCGTTTTCTCCTAAATATGTATTCATGCTATGTGCTAGGGTTTGAAATTGTAGAGCGCTTAAAATTTTCGTTGATCTTGAAAGAAATTGTTAATGCCACTGTGTAAAAAAACTGTGGGCTTATCAATTTGAAATTGGCCACACTTACAGTGGACTTACAAAAAATGTGCACTCTATATTTGACTGTTAAGAAACCAAAACAGGGAATTATAAATGAATGTTTTGAAATCATCCAGTCATCCAGTAGCGTTGAACAACTGAAAGCAAAGCTGGTCCTTAGCATTTATCATTCCAGCATATGGTCACAATGTCCCTTTGCATCAGTCCCTCCGTCCCTAGCCTCAGAGAATGTTTGGGTAGAAAAAGAGAGTTAGTGGACACAGCAAATAGATGCTGCTTGCATCAACTGTGACAGTTGTTGTTTCCCTCTGCCAAGCCATGTTTGTTAGTATGTAGTCTCCTTTCAGCTCAGGAATGCTAGAATAATGAGACGACTTAGAAACAGATGGAGATTGACAGCAACATGGGAGAGAGGGGACTTGGCTACAGATTCCCGTGTTTGTTCTGCTTTTGTATTGATTAAGCGTCTCCTGTGTTACTTTGGCCACAAGGAAGACAAGCTTAAGACAGATGAGTAGAGCTTTTGGCTAAAAGGATATGGCTGGATAAATTTGAATTTGAAATATGCTTAGCTGAACTGCCATGTGGATAGATATTAATAGCCATGCCTATACTTAACGAGGATTTCTAAGTGTAACTGTGCTCTTTACATATGAGTTCCATTTAAATCTTTACAGTTATTGTTCAAAGCAAATACTTGGTCTTATGACCCCTTCTGTCATCTTTCCAGGAAGTCCAGTGCATAGACACGTCCCTGATGGATCCTGCCAGTAATATCACAACCTTAATGGGGCCTAATGCCTTCCGTATTCCTTTATCCATCAGACACAAGTTGTGTGGCAGTTTGGATGCACCACAGACCAGAGGCAACGATTGGAGGATGCTGGCTCACAAACTCAACCTTGACAGGTAGCACACACATCTATTTTTATTTGTTTACTTCTTGTTTGTTTTGTTTGATCGCCTTAGGTGTGTCACTGGCTTTTAATTATGTGCTCAGACAATTGTTTTCAGAGACAGAATTTACCGCTGCCTGATGAAATCACAGAGTGTAATTAATTTGGAATGGAACACTGAGGTTACTGTGCATTTTACTTTCACTTATCTGTTCTTGATGGTTGCAAATGTATATTATATTATATTATATTAATTTCTAATTAATGTTCTTAAGTTCTGTAGTTGTTTAAGTTTTGCATGGTGGCTGTTTAGATACACGGATATACTCCAAAAAGACTTGCAAACTATCCTCTACAATTATATATATATATATATATATATATATATATATATATATAGAGAGAGAGAGAGAGAGAGAGAGAGAGAGAGAGAGAGAGAGAGAGACGGTTCCACACAGAGAGGGGCCAATGATTGTAGAGGATAGTTTGCAAGTCTTTTTGGAGTATATCCGTGTATATATATATATATATATACAGAGATGGCAAAAGTACTCACTTTCCGTACTTGGGTAAAAGTACAGATACTTGTGTTAAAAAATACTCTGGTAAAAGTGGAAGTACTGATTAAACTTCTTTACTCAAGTAAAAGTAACAAAGTACAGGCTTGTAAATTTACTTAAAGTATAAAACTAAAAGTAGAAACCACTTTTTTCATGCCATTGCCTACATTTTAAATGGATGTCTGCCAATAGGACTAGATCTCCGTTGTGTTCATTTTCAATCATCTCGTCGTCCATGCTACTATGCTAACGCCACCGCCACCAAGCTGCAATGATTTGCCGCAAATGAATACCGCCGAATCTGTCGGTTCATCTTGTAGTGGTGCGTCAAATGCAACGTAGATTCCCATCCAATTAGATTGAATTTGGTATTGATGACGTGAAAAATAATTACGGTAACTCCATTGAAATGATTCAAAACTAAAGTAACGAGCCAATTTTTTAAAATGTAAGGAGTAGAAAGTACAGATATTTGTGTAAAAATGTAAGGAGTATAAGTAAAAAGTCGCCATAAAAATAAGTAGTAAAGTAAAGTAAAAATATCAGAAAAATCTACTTGAGTACAGTAACGAAGTACTTGTACTCCATTACTTCCCATCTCTGTATATATATATATATATATATATATATATATATATATATATATGCATAAAATATATCTTTATTAAGAAATCTGACTAGCATCACAAATTGTTGCACCAGTACATTTTTTAATGGATTTAAAGTCATTGACAATGGGATATATCCAACCATCTGAGTAGAGGCACTCAAATAAAAGATTGTTTATTTAGTATGTAGATGCATCTGTAATAAAACATTAGGGTATATCTATATTAAGTCATCCTAATTGAAAGGTTGCCAAAGACTGTGGATCAAATGGATTCTATTCTGTAAATAAATTTTCCATCCAGTATCTAACTATAAATTGAACAAAATAGCACTGTGCTGATTATGTAAAAAAATGAGCGAATAAAAAAGTCTTGCAGAAGTATTATAATTAGATCTCAATTTCCCATTTCACTTACGGTGATATTCCCAGATTTGTATAAACAGTTAACCCTATACATATGCCAGATATTGAGAGGATATTTAGGCTCAAATGCAAATAATTGTCCCTACAGCCCATTAGTTCATGGTGCAGCTGGTGAATGTGGGCATCAGGAGTTTTTATTAACATTTTTATATACTTTTATGTTTTCTTCAAAAACATTATTTTTTGAAGGTTCAGAGACATTTTTTCCCCCCTTTGATCTGTTAAAGCATCCGTCAAGGTATGAGATGTGTTGTGCAGTTGCAGCTTTCTCCTGGCATAAATACCCTGTGTGACTATTTACATCTCTAGAAAGCTCTTCAATACAAACTCAAGCACTTTTTATGTTCGTAGACAGATCTGAAAGAAACCCTCCTTATGGGTTTCTCTGAGTCTCTCAGTTCACATAACAGCAGTTTCTTTTCCCTTTTGTTTTTATTGAAACAGCACCTGTGTGACAACAGTACAATTGGAAGATTTACAGTGCAGTCTCCTTTTCATCCCCACAAAACTGAAATCTGATGTTTTTATACTTCAGAGCAGCACCAAGACCTTTGTGAGCAATTGTGCCAGAATCCTCTTCTGAAACTTACAAAGGACCTGGCTATAAACAGACTTTTCTATTTCATTTTGAAATTTTGTTACATTTATAATAGACATATGAATAAAAATCACATATTTGTATCTAATTTATTTAAAATATTTTATCACCCTGCATTATGTTACTTGCTGCATTGTAATATTTTTTTCTTTATTTATACTGGTTATTTTTTTTAAATGTAAGATGATTTCAAGGATGTCTGCTATATGCAGTAAAATTATTCTAGATTTTTAAAGAGGAGAAAATGTTAAAGTCTTCTATGTTGGAATCATACCTTCAGTTCCGTTCTTAATATCTGATCAGAGATTTTGCGCTGCCTAAAAAGGGAAATATGTGCACAATATTTTTTCTTATTCCAGCTATTTCTAAAGATCAGAAATCTAATTATGTTTATCCTTGTGGAAAACCTTGCAATTCATCCCATATGACTTGGGGGAATAAAAAAAGTACATACTGCAAAGAAAAATAATGTTTCTTAGTGCTTTGTGCCCTTACAGCCCACCTACAGTTGAAAAGAGATTTTTTTTATGTTGACTAAAAGACTTTTGTTTCTGAATGGTTGACAATAAATAATACACATTTTGTTACATTTTACATTATTAGGATCACCAACATGTTTTATAGTTCTTAAATTCCAAAGTATTGTTTTATTTAGTCATTTTGAATTCTAAAAACTATTTTCAGGGGAGTACCTCGCAACGGCAATCTACTTTGAAATGGTAATATATATATATATATATATATGTATATATATATATATATATATATATATATATATATATATATATATATATATATATATATATATATATATATATATATATATGTATATATTATGCACATGTTTTGTCAGTAATGTTACAAAAATGTAGAAAAAAATATTGTTTTATATTTTTAAACCTTTCTTTATTCTTTGTTGCATTCTTATTTTTTCAGATATCTGAACTATTTTGCCACCAAGTCCAGTCCAACAGGTGTAATTCTGGATCTCTGGGAAGCCCAACATTTCCCTGATGGAGATCTAAACGAACTGGCTGCTGTGCTGGAAGAAATGGGCCGTCACGATAACAACTTTGCCTCCTTGACATCAGAACACTGACGGAGTTACATTTTTGTATGAAGACAAGCAAAACTCCAGAGATAATCACTTGTGGAACGTCTATGGTTGGTACAGCAGATTAACCAATTAGACAAAGTCAAAGGAAAGCTGTCAGTATGGTGATTGAGTACTGTGTGAATACCATGGTAATCAAGTGTACATGGTAAAAGAAATTGGTGCTCAAACCAGTGCTGAGTTTCTATGTGTGAATCCAGGAGTGATAAAAAGGGAATAAAGGAAAAAATAAAATTCTTGAACCACAGCAATATCTTCTTGCTGTTATGACAACAGTCACAGAGAAAGTAACGATGTGGAACAGAGATATTCACCTTGAAATTATCTATAGAAAGGGAAGATAATTATAAAGGAAGCAAAGGTAAACCAATTACACAAGAGTAGGAATGGAAGATTAAAGATAAACAAAAACACAGATAGACTCTTTACAAAGATAAGCGCAAACACAAAGAGCAGCTAAACTGATTACAGAACAGAGGGAGGACATCAACATGAAGAGATGGAAAAAGCAGGCAGGTGACCATCTGGATAATAAGCAGATAATGAAGGCAGAGATGAAGAATGAGAGATTATTTTCTTGTTAGCCTTGACTATGTGTTTGTCAGTACAGTTTCTTGTTTTTATATACTGTCTGGAAAAGGAGGCTCAGTGTATCAATCTGTCGATATGCGTGGCTTATTTCCTGCTGCAGATTTTCAGTCCTGACAAACAAATCATGAGACAACAGTTTTTTAAGTTTTTGGATCTTTTTAGAATTTTGTTTTACTGTTTTTGTAGATGAATTGGGACTATAAAGTGTTTTTTTTTTTTAGATTTAGTGATTTTTAAATTATCTTGGTTGGAAAAGCAAAAGTGGCGAATTAAATATTAGATAACCCAATCCAAAGATTGTCCTTTAGTTAGGTGTGGGTAAAAAAATCGCTATCCTTAGCAGCGAGAATCTGATAAAAGAGGGAAAGATTAGCACTGCTCCTGCAATGTCCAGTTATTATGTTGTTGTTGTTTTGGTTTTTTTGCTGTTTAATTTTCAATCTAGCACAGATTTTTTGGGCCAATAAAATTAAGTTCTTTTTATGCTATGTGCATCAGTGATGTCAATTATTTTTTTACTTTAAGCTAAAACATTATATATTGAAAACTTTCTGCCAGACTGTTCAGGCTTTTTTTTTTCTGGAGAAACAAGTGACAAGAGTATTTTTGAAATCCAGTTTAAACTGAAACCCAATATTATGTGACAGTTTTTTTTTCCTTCCCATCTTACATATATCAGGATATCAGTAAAACTATTTGACTTTGACTTTGTTGGTCATGAGCACCATCTAGTGGCCTTGGAAGAATTACAGTGTTAAAAAATAAAAATCAAGTTCACGGTGTAAATACATGGTTGTGTTGTTCATGGTAGTGACATACATGTCATAATATTTGTTTGTTTAAATATTAATAGTTGAATGACATTTTTGTCTCAGTTTTATTGTATCTTATTTTTAACTGTGAGCATCATTTAGCATTTCCCTGCTACCTGTAGGCATCTTGCAATCAATCCAGCATGAATGTTTTGTTTGAATTATTAAAATCCCCAAAACTAATACATTCTTTTTAACATGAAGTATGACTATTTAAAAATGTGGTTTAACTTAGGAGAAACAGCATTGACATAAATGACAGATTTAAGATCTATCAAAAGGTTAAATATTTACCTGGAAATCTTGTAGGATACCTTCAAACATTGATTATCTTTTTTCATTTTTTCATTTAATTTAACAAGAAGGAAATCTAAAATCTAGACCTCCTGCACAGATTTAAAGCTAGTTGTAAAATGATTAAAATGCCTCTGAATAATTGTAAGTGCTCAGAAATAGACAGTGCCTTGTAAAGGATTTGTAACCCTTGAACTATTCGCACTTCGTCAGGTAACAACCACAAAGTTTAACATGTTAAGTTGGGAGGTGGATGCAACTGAGATGTGATTTTCAGAACTATTTTTGATAAATCTAAAAAGTGTATTATGCATATGTATTTGTGCTCCTGGTCCCCGGCCTCAATCCTCTAGAACCACCTTGGACTGGAATAATAGGTGAAATTAGAATGAAATTAGCCTAAACCAGCTTTGCACATCAAGAGATTTCTTGAGGCAGAATTCTTGGCTGATTCTTCTTAGCAAAGTTTCTCAAACTCAGTCAGATTGGCTGAAGAGTTTTGCAACAGTTGTTCCATGAAATTTAAGCCTGGACCATGATTGCACCATTATAACAAATTAATACCATTTGATACATATCATTCTGTTGGTGGTCGATCTATATGTTTAGAATAACTCTCCTGCTGCATGGTAAAGAATCTGCTTCATCGATTTCCAATCAATTCTTACCTTTTTTTCTTATGTCCCTGCTTAAAGGAAAATTCCGGTTTTTAACACTTTTAGCCCATTTTCTGTAGTGTCCAGGATGAAATCGAATGATCGACACCAAAATTTTGACGATTGGTCCTGTCTCTGCTATTTGGCTCATGCAGAATCCCCCCCTGGCTGCTTCAGAATGGCTTCCATAGTGCATGTCCGATAATGTCCTTAAAACAACCTTAAACGTTCTTTTTTTTAAATATGCTACTCACCGGGTCGTCAGCGCTGTTCAATGACGTTCCAAAAAAAGTTTCGTGAAGAAAAACCGTTCCTGTCTTGTTTTATTTAGCATTTTGTAAATCCCAGAACTATTTTTTTCCGATACATCACAACCGCTTATAAACTTCCGCTTCCCATTCGAATCTGAAGCGTTGCACACTCCAGACCACTAGTTGGCGACGGTATCCTCTACCGTCAAACTCAAAGTCCAATATGTCCTCCTCAAGAATCCACCTTTCGTATTCCATTTTCAGAGTTTTTTAAAGTGTTTAACAGAGACGTTAGCACCTCGACGTCGGAGTACACAGAGTGAAGCAGAAACACTTGGGCCTTGCGAAAAGACTACAACTAAGCGTAAACAGGCCCCATTTCCGGTGGCGGAGGGATATTGACTATTCTAACAGAACTCAATGGGATTTACAAAATGCTAAATAAAACACTACAGGAACGGTTTTTCTTCACGAAACTATTTTTGGAACGTCATTGAACAGCGACCCGGTGAGTAGCATATTTTAAAAAAACAACGTTTAAGGTTGTTTTAAGGACATTATCGGACATGCACTATGGAAGCCATTCTGAAGCAGCCAGGGGGGGATTCTGCATGAGCCAAATAGCAGAGACAGGACCAATCGTCAAAATTTTGGTGTCGATCATTCGATTTCATCCTGGACACTACAGAAAATGGGCTAAAAGTGTTAAAAACCGGAATTTTCCTTTAAGAGAAACATAACTTGTTGTCTTGTCAACAAAATCTCAGAGCTGAAGCCTCACTACAGCTACGTCCCTCACCACTCAGTTGTGTTCCTTGGTCAGATGGTGTTTGTTCTCTAAATCAACCATTGGATTTATTTATAGAATTCATTACAAACTGATTTTTTTTTTTACTAATTAGTTGACTACTAATGCAATTATAGCCCATAGTTTTGGGGGGTAAAGGAGAAAGTGGTTTTTGGAGACTATGCATTATAGATTTTTATTTGAAAACATTTTGAAAACCATGTTTCATTATGCTCCCACTTCCAATTTATGCATTGTTTTAGATTGTCAATCACAACAATCCAACAAAAGAAATGGGAGAGTGTGGTTGTTATGCAACACCTTGTGAAAAACCTCAAGGTGTATAAAAACTTTCATGAGGTATTGTACATATCACAAATAATCCTATGGAGCTCATGTCAGGTATGAGAAAATCAAAGGGAAGGGTTGAGAGACTTTAATGAGGATAAAGCCTAGCTCATCAACTGCTTGGTTTTACTTTATTATTATTTTTTTTTTGTTTGTTTGGTTGTTCTTTTATTTCAGAGCAAATATATAACATCCTCTACTCAACTCAATCTTTAAACATGTAAAGTGAAATAGTAAAGTCATTGTTATAAGATCTATTTTTGACTGGGTAATGCATTTGAGAAAACCTTTTTTTGTATTTATAGAAAAATAGGTAATTACATATGCTTGTGTTCCAGAGTTTACAGTTTACCAGCAGAATGAGCATTCATGTTTGGGCTGTAAAAAAGTTTTTTTTTTCTTTTTCTTTTAAGAAGGGTGCATTCAGATCTCTTTTAAATGATCCTTCATATTGTAAAACAAAGAAAGTAGTGTAAAGATATTAAAATATGTGCAAATATTTTTTATCTATACAAATTGTACAGCTGTGAACTGTTGGCTATATTTGGCACATTTCTGAATTTTAAAAGAACAGTACAGTTATATACTAGTTTTTATGTTTTAAGGGTTCTTTTGTCTTTTTCTGGTTTTGTAAAAGCAGTGTCTACTATGCAAACATTGTTCAACCTGATAGAAGTCTATTACTAGAATGGTCCTTGTAATTTAGTATTATATTTTATTATCATGAGTGATTTGATTTTGATCAGTATTCGTCCATATTAGCTAACTGGCACGCTTCAAGAGTATTGCTTATCCTTGCTGACTGCTTGCCTCTATGTCCTGTAATGGTTTTCTGTACAAAGTGTAATAAAGAATTTTTAAGACAATTAATAAATTATATTTATAAGCAATGCTAAGACTGTGTTGTACATTGTCTGGTTTATTTATAAAGGATTGCTAAAGAAATGTATTGACCTCCATTGATTTTGAGTCATTTTCAACCCTTTATATGCCATAAACCTAACCGTTACCTGGTGATTCTTCATCTGAAGCTTGGTCCCTTTACCAGAGGCTTGAGGCCTTGAGGGTTCTTTGTAGTATATTACAGTTGCTGTTTCTAGGATTGCGCTCTTGGCTGATTTTTCACCAGGTATCTATCGGAGTCTCTTCTCCAGTGTGGGGGTTATTGTGTCTCTAACCATGGGCACTACAGTTGCCTTCACCTTCCAGGCTCTTTACAGTTGTCTGAGACCTTGGTATTTCCCCAGGTTCTCTTGTTTTTTTTTTGTTATTTTCATCATTTGGTATCCCAGCATCACAATTGCAATGGCTATCCTCTGTTGCTTACCAATGATCACAGATTCCAGTTGCTTGGATATTAACATTTTGCCTTTATGTATCTGGATATCCAACTGGATCTTAGTATTCTCCATCACCTTGGGAGGTAACTTCCACGATAACCAGGGGGTCTCCACCATGTATCTTGCAAAAATTTTTCTGTACACTGTAGCATCCACTTGGTTGTGTTCCATTTATTTCTTTTCTGCAAGTGTCTTAAACCCTGCAATAAAATGCTGGATTGTTTCTGGGGCCTCTTTGCCTACCCTCTACTTGGGATCTTGTCTGGTATTGTAGATCTGGGAGAGTTTTGCTCTAGTGCACAATACCTGATCCTGTCCTGCCATGATCAGTGCTTCTGTGCAGTCTTTCAGCCCAGCCCTCTCTCACCATTGGTAGGATTTGCTCATCTGTTGGTAGTACAGTATATCCCATGCGGGGTTTTTTCCTCCGATGATGGTTCTTCGTACCTTCTCTCCCAGATTCCTTTGTCTGAGACATTCACTGAGCACTTAATTTCTCGAGGCCATCTTCCTGACATATTATTGGAGTCTGGTGGTTTCACCTTCAGTGATGACTTTGATGCTTACCTGGCCTCTGCCTGTTTTGTTTGCATATACTGTGTAGCATGTGAATACTGGATTTGGCGCTGATAAACCATGCATGATGTAAAGCATTTTCATTTTAATATCTGGCCTTGATTTACTCTTTTGGCCAACCTGTTACCCTAGTAGGGTATTTGATTACAAGCAAGACAGCTGTTAATTGCAAGGACCTTGTTCTTGCCATTGAGCTGACTTCTCAGGAATTGCCTTACTCGTTGCAGGTATTTGACTGTTGCCGTTTTCAGTTGCCATTTGTCTGTCCTATTTCAAGGTACTTGTAGCCCTCTGCAAACATAAACTGTTGTCCCTTCTGGGAGTGCAATATTCTGTATATTTTACATTTGATGGAGATTTGCCCAATTAGCTTGATATCAGCCTCAAATGTGATTTTCCTCTGCCTCATGGAGTTTGCAATGAAGGCTTGTATTGTATTTGCAAATCCTAAACTATAAACTATTTCAATAGCTGGATAAATCTGGCCAGAATGGGAAGGACTTGAAAAGCTTAAAAGTCCTTATGGTGTCACTATTCAACATGCTGTGTATTCAGCAGCATGAATGGTTTATAATGAGGCATGCTGGTTTTCTCTCTTACATTTTCAACAAAATTAAGAGCAAGTCTTAGTGAATCATTAAGATGCAGCCACAAACTGTGCATCAAGCATTTGAATAAGTGAATCTCTTTATTAAGGGGGCTTTCTACACACAGCCACAGCAGGTATACCCTAAATGAGGTATGATTCCTAAAATGAAAACAGAGAGAAATAAAACAAAGAGAAGGAAAAAACCCAAATGCACATTATTTTAGTAATAGCACTTAAAACTGACTTATCAAAATATGACTGCCCTAAAGTGCCACTGTTGCCTTGCAGTAAGAAGGTCCAGGGGGTCTGCCTGCATGGAGCTTACTTGCTCTTCTTGTACATGCATAGGTTTGTTGTAGGTATAACAGTTCCCTCCCACAGCCAAAACACATTATTTTAAGCTTATTTTATATACTTTTAGTTCTTGGGTAGGTATGGGTGATTGTCTTTATGTCTCTGTTTTGCCATGTGATGGATTGGTTACCTGTCCAGAGAGTACCCAATATCTCGTTCAATGGTTGCTACTAGAATTTAATCAAATCACCGACAGAATAAAACACAAAGGGCCTCATATGTATACTAATTAGTGTGAAGTTCTGGAGTGGGTCGACATCCTAGGACAATACTTGTGGTGTCTCCAGGGCAGTCCTGTTAGGGCCAACTGGGCCCTGAGCCGGCCTGGGGCCCCAAGACAATGGTGGGCCTGGTTATGAACTGATAATGACAAACACAATGAGTGTTTGCCATTTTAAGTTCATTGAATGTCGCAGCAGAAAAGCACAAGACCTTTATAGGAAAATGCCTCGAGGGGTCCACTTCTTCTTGCAACTGTCAAGTCACTATCAATGCTACAAGCGGGGCTCCCCTCTCAAAATACAGACTATGTTATTTGGGAGATGACGGACCGTCATCGGCCAGGTCATGTGACCTGAAAAAAAACTTATTGCTTTATGGCTGCAGGCTCTTATATGGTCCTGGAGCTAATTCTTTTGCTCCATTATTTTACAGCCTGATTGTCTTTTCTCAACTTTATTGTTAGACTGGTAAGGTAACTTTTTGTGATGAGAAGGTTTCTGTTTTCTTCTGTTAGCCATTTGTGGTATTTCGGCTCCGAATCCCAATTCAGAGCACATTCGGCGAGTCACATATCTCTGCTGAGCCGATCAGCCTCTGGTTCACTCTGTAGCCTCTCAGAGATTCAAGCTGTCATGGCTGAGCTCAATCAGCGCAACGCCCAGCTGACTGAACGGCGAGCCCCACTTAACCCTCTAACGCCCAGCCTCCTCCCGCTTAGGAGCTACTTTTCCCACTTTTCCCGGGTTGATTGTTCATGTCTCACACGGTAAGCCTTTTGGTGCTGTCATTCTCATCATACACATACTCCCATTACTTTTGCTTTCTGTTGCAGTGTGCCTCACACCCCCTATGTTTCCAGGTGCCCTGAAGGAACTCTGCGTATCATTGTTGGTTTTTTTTAGATAACGAGCATAAATCTGAACTACCTGTCTCCTCAGTGTGTTCTGTATGTGGGTCTGAAAACAATAGACCATGACAGATGTTTAGTAGAAGCAAAATACGGGCAGTTACAGGTCTAGTGCCCCTAGTGGCCAAAGTTACACAGCGTGTCTTTAAATCACAAGAATTTTACTCACAACCATAAAAATATTTTTGCAAATTTGCGATGACACACTAAATTTTTAGACCTGGCCAAATATAATGCACTTATATTTTTCAGAACCAGGACTTGATCAATGTAAAGTTTCTGTGTATTGGCGTCTTGTACTTGACTATAGATGGTGAATGTAGTCTTTCACTTTGCACACCTAGCAATCACCAACCCAGTAAGAGGGAGTGGCGGTTTCTGCAGAGTAATCCAACTAAATTGGTCAAAAGTGGAAAACACAGTCAAATAGAGTACTGAGATGGTGAAATACATCTTCCAAAGATGGAAATGTCAGATTCAATAAGGATAATGGCTTAGCTTAATATGCTACGGTGAGTGGGAAAAAAAATAGTTAAGATGTTATTAAGAAAGACTGAGCACATCAGAATATAATCCAAGCAATCACTTTCACAGGATTATGATCTTTCTTGTTGATGTTGTGTTACACCAAAGTCTGTGACCCATCAGAAATACAGATGACAACAGTGTGCATTTTGTTGTATACACCTTCCTAAAGACAAGTGAGACAAATATTTACATTAACTGCATAGGTTTACATAGATTCAAACTTGATGCTTCACAGATTGTCTAATATTTTGTATTCTATTCACATTAAATAGGATTTAAAGCTAAAGACTACTTACTGGACTGTTGCATTGCACTGACACATTGAATGTCTGTGAGCTTTTATTTGAGTATGAAAAGTCACTGAGGCCAAATTTTGACCTATTTAGGTTATCCCAAGTGCTTTGGCTGTAGAAGATGTTCAAAGATATTTTAAAAAGTTTTGTCACCTCATGTATTCAATACCCATGTATTCAAGCATAAAACCATCAAGTGGCCAGGATTTCCCAGGTCAGTATTCCTGATAGCCAGGATAATATAGTACTGTATAAGCTCACTGCAAAGTAATATAAAGTGATTAAAATCCAATTCACATGTGACCCAGTTGATCTCAGTATGATCTATTATTACTGCAAAAAGACAGAGGCAGAGGGGAATTCTGAGAATTACAGTGACACCACTGACTAGGTGAGATATTAAGTTGTAACATTGTGGCATTTTATTTGTAGTGCTACTTGTCATCCTCCGGTTCATCTGGGACCGGGTCATGGGGGGAGCAGTTTTAACAGACACCCCTGGACTTTCCTCTCCCCTGACAATTTCTGGAGGTACCATAATGACATTTAGCCACAAATTTAGACCAGATTTTCATATTTGACATATCATTCTGTCATGGTTTTTTCTGTGTCTAAAGAATGCAGGCTACAGACAAGATCATGCACTATAAACCAGTCTCAAGTCTGAGAGCTATTTAGCTCATGTTTGGGTGAGTTCTGGCTTAGTTACTGTTGGCTGAAATTTGGCACAGTATTGGTTTTGTTGTGGTCCACTTTTGGCAAATGACTGTGCACCATACTTGTGCCACCTTTTATGCCTCACTTGTGCCAGAGTAAAACTGTACACATGCATCATCCACCTTGGAGTCTTTTTCTGGCAAACTAGGTAAGTTCAGAGGATTTCTATTGCAATCCACCTGAGTCCTCGGCCACTCCCCTCAATCATTCACAGATGACTCTGATAAGGTCTCATATATTGTTGATTTTTTACAATACCACGCTTTAAAATGGGCTGAAGTTATTATTGAGGAAGAACTCCTATAAAGTTTTCTCTGACCTCTTCAGACTAACATTTTCAACCAATTTTAATGAAGAAGATATGCTAAAAAGTTATGGCAACTTAAAGGAATAGTACACCCAAAACATGATTAGCCTTCATTTTCTACTCACCCCCATGCTGAACAACACTCTGGAGTACTTTTTTGATATCTCAAATGCATCTGGAGATCTGGGAGGCTTCTTGCTGTCTGCTGACGTTCAAATAATGGAGGTCTATTGTGCCCGAGACAGAAAGGTCCATAAAAGTCCACAAAAAACGTGTCAATATTCCTCCATACTGCTCGTCCAATGTATTCCAAGTGTCCTGAGTAGGTAGCGTCCATAATTTACTCGAAACGAAGTCATTTAGAATGTTTTTAGAGCATAAACAGTAGTGTATAGGATTTCCTGAAAGCGCGCGCCGGCGCGTTCATGACGCTACGGAAACCGCGGCAGACCAAGCCAGATGAAAGTGCGCATTCAGCTCGGCAAAGAACTGATGCTCTTCCTCAACACTGAAGTCCTCAGACATTTTTCTTTCGTTGTTTCTTTCTTTGCACAGGTAAACAGCACATTTCTTCTTCTACGCTTGCATTATCGTCAGAGCAGACACTGAATGCGCACTTTCATCTGGTTTGGTCTGCCGGCTTCCGTAGCGTCATGAACGCGCCGGCGCGCGCTTTTAGGAAATCCTATACAATACTGTTTATGCTCTTAAAAACATTCTAAATGACTTCGTTTCGAGTAAATTCTGGATGCTACCCACTCAGGACACTTGGAATACATTGGACGAGCAGTATGGAGGAATATTGACACGTTTTTTGTGGACTTTTATGGACCTTTCTGTCTCGGGCACCATAGACCTCTATTATTTGAATGTCAGCAGACAGCAAGAAGCCTCCCAGATCTCCAGATGCATTTGAGATATCAAAAAAGTACTCCAGAGTGTTGTTCAGCATGGGGGTGAGTAGAAAATGAAGGCTAATCATGTTTTGGGTGTACTATTCCTTTAAACAGGGTAATATGTCTGCTACTGAGTCTGGATGGAATGAAACTGCATTTAAAGCTCTTTACCAACATTTCCTAAATAACCATCGTAAGGATAAACTAGCTTGCAGAGATACTCCGGACCCTCTGAATTATCATTTAAATCAACGATTTAAATAAATCAGAATAGACAATAGAATCCGGGAACGATCCCTAATTAAAGGATCTTTAATTTGGGAGATTAGGAAAAATTATGCCTGGTCTCTGGTTGCTACCTGTGTTGTGGTTCTCACCAACATTATGTTGCCAGCTGTTCAGTTCACCCAAAGAACCCAAGCCCATCAGTCAAACAAGGGACCCTGGGTCCTGTTGAAAGTCTGACAATTTTATCATGGCCTCAGATAATGGACTTGAATCTTTACTTGTCTTGTTAGATCTCAGTGCTGCATTTCATACAGCTAATTATAATTTTCTTTTTCAAAGGATTGAACATTTTGTTGGAATTAAAGAAACAGCACTAGACCAGTTTAAATCTTATTTATATGACAGATTTCAGTTTCTTCATATTGTCTTCATGTTATTCTACTAATTTAGTAACCGATTAATCATTAACTGGAGCGTAGAGACTCTAAAACATGCTTTTAGATGACAGAGCAACCCACTTAAAACAGTTATTACACCGAAATAGTAAAAAAAAATATGTAAACCTTTTGCATTTAAGATAAATAAACTTTTTCATCCATCAACATTCTCTATCCAGAACTCCTAAAGTGGAAAAGTTTGAGTTTCACCTGTTGTAATGTCATGAAAAAGTGTTCTTTAAGGAAACTTTTGCTATTTGATTATTAATGGAGTAATCGCAAAAAAAAAAAAAAATCGACAGATTAATCGATTTGCAAAATAATCGTTAATTTAAGCCCTACTCCAGGGTTATCTGTGGAGTACCACAGGTATCAGTGTTAGTGCCAATTCTCTTTACTAGAGAATTTTTACTAGATAACTAGATACTTTACTTTGCTAGAGTGTATAGGGAACTGTTTTTTCTCATTCTGCTCCATTCTATCTCCAATCTTACATTCTTCAGTATTTGTTAGTTCAACCTCTAACTTTATACTCTCTGCTTTTTCTCATCAGAGTAGCTTTTTCTGATCTGTTCCTGTTTGGCTGAGACTCCATCCGGGAGAGAAATATCAACTGGGCTGCTGCCATCAACACCTTTGTTTAAAGATGTTGGATTATGGCCTGTTTTTCAGTGTAGTCCTATTTCTCTGAATGTGACTAACTGTATGTGCTCCCTTAATCCTCTGACATGGAAATTGGCTTGGAGCTAATCTGCCAGGCTGTGTATTTACTGGACGGGGCCGCCTGTGGTGCTTGTTGACAGTTACTTTTGTATCTTTGCCTCTTCTGTATGTCTGCTTCTGTGTCCTTGAACCGCAGTCAGCCTCGGCAGATTGCCACTCACACTGAGCCTGGTTTTGATGGAGGTTTCTTCCTGTTAAAAGGGAGTTCTCCTCTTTGCTGTCGCTACATGCATGCTTGGTGTGAGGGATTGCAGTCGAGTCAATGAGTCAGTGCAGTCAGCTGCTTTTGCTTAGATAGAAAACCTTGACTCAGTCTGAGTTTATGACCTGGTTGAATTGTTTCTTTTCATTAATTTTCAGTCAAAATGTTATACTTCATTCCGTCATATTATCATTGAGGTGTTTTAAAATAATTTAGTGAGGAGAAATGTATCGCTACATCATTATTAAGTCTTAATTGATTCCAATTAGTACCTGTCACTGTATCATAGCTATTAGGGGTGTAAATCACATCCATCATGGCAATTCGATTCAGTATCGATTTCTTGACCCAACGATTCGATTATTTTCGATATTCAAGAGTACACCACGATTCGATTAATCGGTTATTTATTTATTTATTTTTTTTACATCTTACAGGCTAAACAAAGTTTCAGGTTTGAAATAAATCAATGAAAGCTGTAAAATCGTTATGCATTTTTTTTTTTTTAGAAACAACACCAAATAACAGAAGTAGAAAAGTTGCATCAAAAAATACTGCAAATATACTGCACAAAATCAGTCAATGAGTGCAATGCAATACCTTGGCTCAAGACGTCCCCGCCCCCTTGACAGACGCTCCGCTGCTCCTCTCCCAAATTGTAGGTGACCGCAAACAGTGCCGCAGACAGGAGGCCGGCTTGTTTTGTTTTTATGACCAAAATTGCGGAAAACAACTCGTGAAGTTTGACCCGCTAGAAGAGCGAGGTGTGTGAGAACGCTGGGACCCTTTTTCCACCTGGATCTTTTTGGCACTCATGTCCCTCCGTCGTCGGACTAAACTCGCCCCCACTTCCTCGCCGCCTTGGCCGTATCTAGACCCACAGCGTGTAGCACAGACCACGCTTCAATATTGAGCATAAATCAAAAATGTCTGTGTCAAGCTTACTGCAACACACTGCTGCAGGAGGATCACCAGGAAGCGAGGAAGGAGGGCAAAATAGGTTTAGCGCCACCGCAGCACGGGAGGGACAATTACGCCCAGGAGCAAATGGATAAAAATAGACTGGAGGAAAAAAAAAACATGAATCGATTCTCTTGCGGACGTATTGATGCATCGGATCGTCGGCTGTTGGATCGATGCATCGATACAAAATTATTATTATTTACACCCCTAATAGCTATCCCAGTAGAGTTGAGAATGTTCAGCTGCAGGGCCTCAATGCTATTTGCTTTTCCATTTTTAGGACAATTAAAACAAACTGCTACATTCCTGAAGCAAAAGAACACACCTTTTTGTCCATTTTGACTGCACAAAATTTGCTGAAATTACCCTTAAAAATATAACAATCTAAATAAATCATTAGCTATCTATTCAGAAAATGCCTTTCTTTTGTCAGAGTACCATGCAATTTCATTAAAAAGCATAGTTTTGTAGAGCTGTATCTTCAGAAATAACTGATAAAGCTATGAATGTTTGAGGTTACCCATTTGTAGGGCATTATACTGACTTTATAAACCAAGTTTTTTATTATAAATTTCAAATGGGATCAAATATCTCTTGCTGTAAAGCAATGCTGAAAGAAAAGGACAATTGAATTAAGTGCTACACAGTCACTATCATAAAGTAAAGTGTTATGGTTCTCCCCTTTACTTCTTTTTGAGTTTCTGTTTTAGTTTTCAGTAATTTATGTCATTCTGTTTTGTTGGTCATTGGTTTCTTTTCCCTTTTGTGTTATATATAAGCTGTGCTGCATTTTTTGAGTTACTTTCTGTTTCCCCCGTGTGCCAGCTTTAAAGAAATTGTATAATACTGTGCCATCTTTTAGTTCCCATTTTTGAAATAATCATTTATAAACATAGATTTGAAGGGTGCCAAACTGTTGGAGGTACTACACTAGCAGCTGTGAGGAAATCCACCTCAGATGAGAGTGAAAATCAGAATTGGACCTATGTTTAGTTTTCACTCCTTTTGTCTTTCAAGGTCATTTTGGAAGGTTTGAAAAAATGTAAAACACAAAAGCACAACAGCCTTCAAAGCAACAGTCATGTCAATTTAGAGGCAATAGCTTTTCCAACAGACAAGTCTTTTATTTGTGTTTTACATGAAAAAAATACAATTTTACAACCTCAATTAGCCTATTTTAACTCATATACAAATTTCAAATTTTCAGTGTCTAGAAACTGTATCACCATGAGCAAAATTTTACAGTAAAGCCTCATAATACTTGTGTCACCTGGTGTCAGGTTTTGAAACCAAAAGCAGTCAATTCATAAGTGACAAAAATGTGTTTATTTCATAATAATAATAATAATATAAACCAGTAGTAGGGTGGTATGTGTTTAGAAAGGATGTGTTCTCCTGCAGTGACATATTGCACTGAAGCGCACACCTTCAGTTCAATCATTCAGATCTTCATCTACAGGTAGGGTAGCTTTCACAGAAAGCACAGATATTGTGTCTATAGACTGTTGAAGTATCTCTGCAGTTTCATTCTCTAGTAAAACTCTGTCTTTCTTTCCAAGACATTTACATGACACTTGGTTTTAGATTCTAACACTAATCTGAATCTGATTTGATAACCCAAACTCAGCTGCTTATAGCGCAGTAGTTTTATTTTTTTTAGAATTTAGCTGCAGATTTCCTGGCATATTTATGATTGAGTAATCTCCTGAGCTGCTCTTCCTCCTTTTGTCCAGGCTTTGCAATGAACTGGACGAAAGCCAGTGTGGTTGTCAGAGTCCGCTCTATGCGCAGCTGGCAATGGCATCTCACAGCTTGATATCCTGTGATTCTGACATTTTGGCAAGTGTCTTTTTGACCCTCAGGGCTGTTAGGCGGCAGGCCGGGTTGTGGGCCCAGCATTCTGTCATTAGCTTTCCCATCTGTCTCAAACACTGCAAAGATATAGGTTAGAGTTAGGGAGGTAATTTGTTTGCTTGTGCATGGATAATATTGCATGTTGTACCATATATTACCTCATCGCTGCTCCATCGATTTGGAAAGGATGGCCGTAGTTTCTTGATACAGACCACCTCCCTCATGTCTTCATATGAAGGGTCTGTGGGAACCAACTCATGGTATGGTAACTGGTACTCTTCTAGGATCCCTGTGTAATGTAAGTGACAAATGAAATCTGGCAGAGGAAAGATTGAAGGCCTGTCCTGTAAATTCCCACTGTGGTTCTAATAGGAGAAAGGGAAGAAATGTTCTAAGGGGTATACAATACTTTGAACTGCACTATATTTACCTCCTGAGACACAACGTCGAGCAATCTCCCAGAGGATGAGCCCAAAGCTGTACATGTCGGCCATGATGTATGACTGAAAATGGCTCCTGTTTAAAGTCTCATCCAAAACCTCTGGAGGCATGTAACGCTTTGTACCAACTCGTGTGTTGGGAGGGATATCCACCTCATTGGTGTCGCTAAGGAATCAGAAAATTTAACAAAGACTGATTTAGCAGAATATAAATCCAAATTAAGTTGTTGTATTGTTCATGTTTATTTTGATACACACCTGATGAACTTTACCGCTAGTCCCAAGTCAGCAATGCAGCAGGTTCCATTTCTTTTCACCAGTATGTTCTTACTCTTTAGGTCCCTGTGAGCTATGGCGGGTTTACCCTGAGTGCCAAAGATTTCTGTATGGAGGTGACAGAGTCCTGACACAGATGAATAGGCCAGACGCAGCATGGCTTTATTGTCCAGGGTGGTTGATTTCAGGTAGTCATACAAAGACCCATTTTCATGGTAGTCAGTGATGAGATAGAGTTGGGTCCAGGAGCCAGTTCCTTTGATATCTGCAGCTATAAAACCTGCAAACAGACAAAATGAGGGACAGATGGGGAATAAAGAGTTAGAATTACCATATCACTGATTAAATTTGTAAGAATCCAGCTGTTCACACACTCAGTACCTTTCTCTGTTGCTAATTGCATCAATAATGATGATGGACATTTCAAATAGGTAATTCTCCATACTGTGCGCTCAGGTTAATGAACAGACTCAATTAGGCTCTACCAAAATGGTACAGATTACTTAAATAAAATACTTTTTAGTTCTCTCCTGTTTATATGTTAGTATTTTTAATTATCCTCAGACATTTTTTCTATATTTTATTACTTGTCAGATCCATAAATTGTGAAGCATGGCAATATGATTTAAAAGAACTAACAGTGATAATAGACCCGGGAGTTTAGTCCTTTCAAGGTGTTAATAGAAATCCAGATTCAAGTATAGTCATAGCAGGGAAAATACTAGCAGCAATACAAGGTTATGAGATTCAGACAAAAATTAGACTGTATGGCTAAATACTGGAAAATTTCTTATGGACCCCTGTTCTCATCTTTAGTATGCATTCTCTTTTTGAAATAAATCTAAAAGTGGAGTGCTTAAAAATCTTATGTAATATTTAAGTAATTTAATTGCAAAAAAAAATCTTTATACAGAGGAGCAAATTTTGATTTATTAATTTTCTAAAAAGTAATCATTCTTTATAGCTATATTATTACAATAAACCATGTGGCTCCTAATAACAAAAGTGTCACCTTCTGGCTATGTATGCAGCCTCTGCTGTAAAGTTTTGGTACTAATTTACATCAAAATATATGAGATGTCTAACTACTGTAACATGGGGTACGACATTGATTCGAATAAGGCTAAACGATTTATGTTAAAGGTACCATAATATTAATATAAATTTCTCAATAAATAAAGTAAAACTATCTCTTTAAAATGTCTGCAAAGTCAGCACTATATTTAACTTGTTACATTTGAACAATGTAGGGGGAAAAAAACCCAAACTTTTGTAATAATTGTAAAATAGAGTGATGTCAAAGAAAGAATCATAAATCATAATCTAAAGGTCTAAATTAAATGAATACTACCAACAGGTAAAAGAGCAACACTTACCTAGTATGTTCTCATGTCTCATCAGGACAGTCTGATAAATTTCAGTCTCTCTGAACCAACTAGCCTCCTCAGTGGTAAAGAAAACTTTAACAGCCACCTTTTCTCCTCTCCACCTGCCCATCCACACCTCGCCGTATCTTCCCTTGCCAATTTGCTTCACCATCTGAATCTGCTTGGCTATAGTTCTCTGGACCTGGGGATGAGCAAAAGCAGAGTATAGATAAATAATTTCCATTGTGTGTGCGTTTTTCATAATGTCACTAAGGCCTTCATAAAAAAATCTTACAGCCTAAATCTATGCAAAAATATTTCACCATATAGCCTTTCTCACATGCTCTCTACAGGGTAAAAAAAAATCACATTACATGCTTTTATACATTTTTTGAATTTCATTGGAAGCAAGAAATCAAATGATGTTGGAAGAAAATCAATAATGATGGCAGACAGGGTACAGCAGAAAGTGTTTTGTGGGCATCTCACCAACAGAGGGAGACCTGAGCCTGAGCCAGAGGTCTGTGACTGCTCTATCAGGTCCTTCAGAGACTCTCCTGGAGGAATATATGTTTCATCTTGTTCCAAACCAATGCTGTATCGAGGACGAGACTCTTGCCGCTTGTACCTGCAAGGCAATGTCATTCAGCAAAACACTATCAAGATATAGGAACTGCTTGCAAATTAAAGAAAACTGTGAGTTATCATTACTGTTTGATTACCTGAAGTAGCAGAAGATAATAATGGCAGCCAGTACAATGATGCACACAGTTATTGAAATCAACATTGCCATGTGGTGGATCTTCCAATCAAAATACACTAGACAGGAAAAGATTAATAATTTTCAATATTAATATCAAGAAACATTGCGTAATTGTATTGCTCTTTTCTGTGCTGCCCAATTTGTCTCTATTAGTCACAATCAACTTAGGTAACTCAGCTTTAAATCAAATTCCACTTATTGGTATTTCATTTGACTCAACCCCTTATCCTTGTTGATGAATTCTCCTCCTTATCCCAGATGATAAGGTTTCAGATTGCTGACTACTTCAGCATTGGCTGAGGCCTCTGGTTTTCCTAGTAATTCTTTCTCAAATAATGATACCTTAGTTTTCTCTAGATACTCTGATGAGCTTATAGATATTAACTCATTGACTCCCAAGTGATCTTTCACCAAAGGTTCATCTCCAGAAATTAGGTGGAAAAGTTGCCTTTTTCAAGAGACAGGTGGAAACCCCCTCTGTAGGAGGACTAGAAACAACCAATACTTGCATTTCTGTGGAAGAAGATGTTGAACTTTTTCCTGACATTCATTTGTTTTTTGGATGCATATGTATATTGTTGCATTGTTTTATCATATTCATGTCACTTGCTATACTGTATGCTAGAAAAATTGAACTTACAAGGTGGTTTGAGTGGTGGCAGTGTAGGATGCAGCTTTTTGTTGCAGAAATCTTCATCTGTGCAGCACTCCAGCGTTTTTCTCTCATGGGACAAAACGGTGTCCTAAAGACAATAAAGTCATTAAAAAAACATAAGCCTGTTATTACCCTGTCCTCTCTGACCACTTTCTAATAACCTTCAGGATTACTTTAACAGAGTTCTCCTCCCCCAAAAGAAGGTTCAATTTTAGTAGATCTTTATCAGATAGTGCAGTTATAAATTTTAAAGAATCTGCTTCACTTTCTCTCTGCTCTGTGTCACTGAGCAGTGCTGCAGAGTGCAAAAGCTTAGCTTATTCCCCTTCACAGGTTGATGATTTTGTTGATGGGGTTGCTAGTTCTCTGCGTATTGCCTTAGACAACGCAGCTCCTTTGAAAATGAAAACCGTTAAAAATAGAAAGCTTGCTCCTTGGTTTAATGCAGAGCTGCGTACTTTGAAGCAAAATGCTAGGAAACTGGAGAGAAAATATCGCTCCACAGGCCTGCGAGAGTCCTTCCTAGTCTGGAAAAATGGTTTACTGCTGTATAAGAGGACCCTTTGTAAAGCAAGAGCAGCATACTTCTCCTCATTAATAGAGGAGAATAAGAATAATCCTAGATTTCTTTTTAATACAGTTGCCAAACTCACCCAGAGCCATAGCTCTGTTGAACCGCCCATTCCACCTGCTCTTAGCAGCAATGATTTTATGGGATTCTTTATAAATAAGATTGATCTTATTAAAAATAAGATCATAAGCACTCCTCTATCCGCGATTGTACCTGAGGTAGTCATGGAATCTGAACTGGGTTTAGACTGCTTTGATCCAGTTGAACTCTCTGAATTAGCAAAATTATTGTCTTCATCTAAGCCTTCAACTTGTATGTTAGATCCAGTTCCAACCAGGTTATTTAAGGAGGTATTCCCTTTGATCTCCTCCTCCATTTTAGATGTGATTAATCTATCTCTGTTACAGGGATATGTACCTAAAGCTTTTAAGATTGCTGTAATTAAACCTCTGCTTAAGAAACCGTCTCTTGACCCAGATGACTTGGTCAATTATAGACCTATATCCAATCTTCCTTTCTTATCCAAAATTCTTGAGAAAGTAGTTGCCAAACAAGTTTGCGATCACTTCCACCATAATGAACTTTTTGAAGAGTTTCAGTCTGGCTTTAGAGCTCATCATAGCACTGAAACAGCTCTGGTGAAAGTCACTAATGATATTCTCATGGCCTCAGATAATGGACTTGTATCTGTGCTCGTCCTGTTGGATCTTAGTGCTGCATTTGATACAGTTGACCATAATATTCTTTTAGAAAGACTTGAATATTTTGTTGGAATTAAAGGAACAGCACTAGACTGGTTTAAATCTTATCTATCTGATCGAATTCAGTTTGTTCATGTTAATGATAGATCTTCAACACGCTCAAAGGTTACCTGTGGAGTACCACAGGGATCAGTGCTAGGACCAATTCTCTTTACTTTATACATGCTCCCAATTGGTAGAATTATTAGACAGCATGGGATTAATTTCCACTGTTATGCTGATGATACCCAGCTATATCTGTCTATAAATCCAGATGAAGCTAACCCATTACATAGATTACAGGCATGTCTTGAAGACATAAAAACCTGGATGACTCTTAACTTTCTGCTTCTGAATGCAGACAAAACAGAAGTTATAGTCTTTGGACCAGAGTCTCTGAAAAAGAAACTGATTAGCCAGTCACTTCATTTGGATGGGATTAAACTGATTTCAGATAATAAAGTAAAACATCTTGGAGTTATTTTTGATCAGGACCTGTCATTTAAATCCCATATCAAAGAGGTTTCTAGAATTTCCTTCTTTCATCTGAGGAACATTGCAAAAATTAGAAATATCCTGTCCAGGGGTGATGCTGAGAAACTAGTCCATGCATTTGTTACTTCAAGGCTGGACTATTGTAATTCTTTACTATCAGGAAGTCCACAAACTGTAGTTAAAAGCCTTCAGCTGATCCAAAATGCTGCAGCCAGAGTTCTAATGAAAATGAAAAAGAGAGATCATATCTCTCCTATCCTGGCTTCTCTTCATTGGCTTCCTGTTAAATCAAGAATAGAATTTAAAATCCTCCTTCTCACATATAAAGCCTTAAATGGCCAAGCTCCATCTTATATCAGAGATCTGATTGTTCCTTATGTTCCTAACAGAGCACTTCGCTCTCAATCTGCAGGTTTACTAGTGGTTCCTAGAATTTCTAAAAGTAGAATGGGAGGCAGATCTTTTAGTTATCAGGCTCCTCTCCTGTGGAACCAACTACCAGTTTTAGTCCGTGAGGCAGACACCCTGTCTACTTTTAAGGCTAGGCTTAAAACTTTCATTTTTGATAAAGCTTATAGTTAGAGTGGCTGAGGTTATCCTGAGCTATCTCTATAGTTATGCTGCTATAGGCTTAGACTTTTGGAGGACATAGGGACCCCCATTTCATCATTCTGCTTCATTCTCTCTCTGTTCTCCTATTCTGCAGAATCTGTTAGTTCAATCTCTAACCTTCTGCTCTCTCTGCTTTTCCTCAGAGTAGCTTTGCCTCGTCTGTTCCTGTTTGGCTGTGACGTCATCCTGGAAAGAAACATCAGCTGTGCTGCTTCTATCAACACCCTTGTTAATAGATGTTGGAGATCGGCCTGTTTTCCAGTGTGGTCCTGTTTCTCTGACCGTGACTGAGTGGATGTGCTCTCTTCGTCCTCTGGCATGGGAGCTGCCTTGGAGCTCGTCTGCCTGGCTGTGTGTTTCCTGGACGGGGCCGCCTTTTACAGCTGCTTTTTGTATCTCTGCTTCTGTCTCCTTGAACCCCAGTCGGCCTCGGCAGATGGCCGCTCACACTGAGCCTGGTTCTGCTGGAGGTTTCTTCCTGTTAAAAGGGAGTTTTTCCTCTCCACTGTCGCTACAAGCATGCTTAGTGTGGGGGATTGTATTTGAGTCAATGAGTCAATGCAATCAACTGGTTTTCCTTAGATAGAAAACTTTGTATCAATTTGACTGTATGATCTGGTTGAACTGTAAAGTGCCTTGAGATGACATGTGTTGTGAATTTGGCGCTATATAAATAAACTGAATTGAATTGAATTGAATTATTAGCATATAGCACATACAGAACCG